TAAGCTCTTCCAACGGCGCCAACTCCTTGTTGTCAATCAAGTTGAACTCCTGACATGGGGTAAGGGAAGAAGTGATGACCAACACAACAAATAAAATGCTCAGCAAAGCAGGGTGCCAAGAAACAGGAAACATTTGCAACACGAGAGAAGCATGGGACAGGAACAAAGGAGGAGAGGTGGCAGAGATTTGGCACCTTGGAGGGAGGGGGGGAGAGAGAGGAGGGGGGAGGGGGGGGAGGGGGTATGGAGCACAGAAGCGGGGGTGGGATGGAGGGGAGTGGTTTTTGGAGGCAAAAAGCGGGAAAGAAAGAATGACAAGCCAGACAGGGGCAACTCACATGTGTGAAGAGGATGAAGTGTTTGAAGCAGGTGTTGAGGTGAGCCTCCTCCTTGAGACTGACGATGCGCTGGAAGTGTGAGTGGTAGATGTGCGCGTACACTCGGAACAGCCGCTTGAAGATCGTGCGCACCACCTTCTCAAAGTGCGGAGGAAACGGAACTCCTGTGGTGCGAACCAATGGAGTGGGATGCATGGTAATGGAATGGCGCAGAAAGGGAAATTAGGATGGGGGTCAGAAGCGAGGGGCTGAGGGAATACAGTTTGAGCAAGCCATTATTGGAGTAGCCATTGTGGGATTAGCCCTAGTGACTGCAGCACGGACCTAGCTTTTGGGGGAAGATGGTGCTGTCGTCGAGCTGTGTCTCGATCCAGTCCATGAGGAACTCCACGTACTTGGGCGCCGACACCTCCAACGGCTTCTTCACGTGCACGCCGTCCGCCCACCGGTACTCGTACCTGCCAGACAGGTTGGCACGAGCAGACAAAAAAAGGCAATTTCCAACTTTTTACCTTGCATTGACGAGACCGAGTTTGTGATTTTCAGAACGAACGTCCGACTTCTTTCCAGAACCTGATTGGTACGTTGGAGTGCTTACTTGGGACCGGCGGACATAGTGGGGCAGTGTTCCGGCGTGCAGAACTCAGTGAGTGTGCCGTAGAGCAAATTGACCTGATTGTAGAAATCAACGGCTGGGATAAAAAAGCGGAAGAGAGATAATGGATGGAAAAGATACCTCATTATTGCGGGTGTGTGCATCCATTGGGACGCAACTGAGAGACAAAAAGCGAAGGAGTCACATCACAAACACTTGCATTAACAGTCAAACGGAAAGCGAGACAATAGTTAGCGGCACGACGGCCGTTCAACGGGAAGACGAGGTAACGGCAAGCTGTCTGATTCAACTCACTGTTGACGGCGAGCCACTCATTGAGGTCTTCGCCTGGCGGAAGCCTGACGGCCTCCCGAAGGTTGCCGCTGCCGAGCGTGGCATCGATGTGCTTGCGGAGCTGCTGACCCTGCACGGACGAAAATTAGGGGATATGATTAGGAAGGATGGGGTACAGATGGTTAGACGATGTTTTATCCTGGAGTCGATGTGCTCGCCCAGCTGCTGAAGACGATCGGACAAAAAAATTGGGTACGAACGATGCAGAAGCTGCATCGTCGTGTACGATCATTCCCGCCAAACGTTTCAGATAAGGTGTGACAACAATCAATGTTTTTATTTTGTCGTCTACAATCACTTCTTATACACGAACAATGCAACAACTGGCGGAGCATGCGACGAGCAAAAAGAAACAGGCATTGTCAACTACCTCTAAAGCAACTGGAAAAAATGCACCTAAAAAAATCGTACCTTGCTTCCTGACGGCGCGCTTTTCTTCGGCCGGAACGTCCGCTGATTCCTGCGACAAAAAAGGACGACATTTCAATAACATAGCCAGCTATGTGGCCTGCAGATCGAGCAGCGGCATGAAATAACAAAACCAGAAATAAGAGGATACGAATGAAATTAAACATCCTTGTATTATTCTGGATATGAAACCTCAGCCATTTGCGGCTTAAAGGTTAAGCGCATACCGGCCACGCCGAAGAGACTCATGTTGCCGTCTATTGCGCCGTCCGCCGACCGCTTCAAACCAGCCACGGGAGCCGCGGAGCTCCCTCCGCGAGGAGTATTCAGTCGTGGAGGGAGGAAACTAACACCTTACGGTCACACGTACCGCTTAAACGATAAATTATTGCGGCTTCTCACTATGGTCAGGTCAGAAACCTAGCTCTTGAAAGCCACGCTGATGCTGCTGCAAGGATGTTGCATGGTTCTACTAGTCATGACTCTTTCGACCTACAACTGAAAACCAGTTCTAGTGGTGTTATGTGTGAGGTCTCGACTGGGGCATGGAGAGGTCTGTGATGTGGTTGGTTGGTGAGAAACCCGTTATGACGATCTTCGTAATCTGACTATTGAGATTTTGTAAGGACCGTACAGTTTAAGAGGTATACACTACAGCTTTAGACGAGGTTGGGAATGGTATGGACGATCGATTGTTCCACAAATCATCACGAATTTCCCCTGCCAACAAAAATGCAGATGACTGCCATCCAACCCTGCCACACTGTCGTTCCTTGGGCAGCAAAACCTCCCGCACATTCCTGTAAAAAAAAATGCCCCAGCCAAGCCCAGACCCTTCGTCAGCCAATCATCGCACTACAGCGCGCCATTGTGCAGAGCGGGACTCCGGTGCCGTACATAAAGTGGAATGAGTTGACGTGGCTGCCCAGATTGCGCTTGAAACAATCTTGGCAGCCACTGACCCAAGAAGATCGGTCACGGGCTTGTTCGGTTTAGTGCTTTCGTTAGCGGTAACACTTGTTATCCGTGTTTTGTCAGGAAAAGAACCTGAACCCTAAGGAAGAAACAGTGCCCAAAACCCGCGGCATCGACACCCTGAAAACTTTCACGTGTCGGCTGGTAGATGACCGCAATGTGATGTGTGGTGCACCTTGCTTTGGAAGCCGTCCGTAGCGGGAACGGCACGGCAACCTCCAGAAGATAGGGTCGCACAGTCCACCCTCGCGACTCGTTTCCAATCACACCACTGCACTGCCCCTGAAAATCCCTCATTGTCTCCTCTACAGTCGCACACCTAACTTGAACTGTCGCAATTTACATGGGTTCTGTGTGTGTGCGATCTTACAGTGAATTAATCCGCTGTGTGCGACACGTCTCGTCTCGGGATTCAGAAACTACTTTCCGTGAAGTCTACTTTCTGGACCCCAGCAGCTTCTAGGCAAGGCGATTCCCCATTCCTGCTGCTAGTTTCTAGGTCCGCCGTCAGCGCTTGAGTTTCCAACTCTTCACAAATCCTCCCGTACAAGAACGAGTGAAAAGAGCCCAGCCCCACATACCTAGTTCCCCAATTCTTCACTAAAACGCAATCAGGTCTTCCTTCGAGGAGACAGCGCGTCTTCCCTGTCGCCAGCTAAGAGGCAGTAGCCTAGTAGGCGAATCTGTTTCTTTTCGGTCTCTCTTTTGCTGAGTGTTCAGTCAGCAAGTATATGAAGTTCAAAGGCCTACTCAAAATCGATACGACCGCGCGATCCGTCAAGCATGCGGTAAATCACCCACCTTCTGCTCGCCTTAGCCGAACCTGCAGCTGCGCCTCGGAGTTCCCGTACCGCAGTCGCTCCCGAACCGTAACTATGGCGTCGCCGGGAAACCTCTGCGCGTGCTCCTTCGCTCACAGCAGCCTCTTGTGCCCGTATCACTCGCATCACTCCCCCGCTCCCGCTTCCGTTCCGTCCTCCCCCTCCTCCCTCGTCTCCCCACGGACTCCTTCGGCTTCTCCGGTCGCGAAAAAGCTCGAGAAGTTGGCGAAGCGACTTTCACCCGCTCGTACAGTTTCCATTCAGGCTCGAGCTTCAAGTACAAAGGCCGGCGATGGTCCACTGATGCAGGCTCTCGACCGGCCTCACTCACGCCGAGCCCATCGGCAACTTCTCCTGGCATCCACTCTGAGTTCTATGGCGAAAAAATAGTATTCGCGAACGAAGCGATGACTCCGGGAAGGCGGAGGTGCTCCTTTTCGCGCTCCGTTTCCACGTCAGCATCAGGCGGCCGATTTGGGGAATTTGAGGCCATATGGGAAGCGGAAAGTCGGGACGGGGATTGGGACGACGGCGATTCGCCTACCTTTGCCGCGGAGTGACCGCGACGCTAGGTCGCAGAAGCAGCGGAAGCGTCGCAACCGAGTCTTCCGCTTTCCCGGCCGATGGGACAGTAGGGACTTGGCAGTAGTAGATGAGAAACGCCAGAGACGGCGGCAGATATGACGGCGGCCGGCGCGGAGCTCGCGGAGGCCATGGCGGAGAGCGGCACGATGGGCCCCGCCGCGCTATTGACTGATCGCCAGATTGATCGGCTAGCCGACTGTCGATATGACGGCGAAGGTGACGGTGGCGGTGGTGGCGGCGGCGCAGGCGCCGTTTCGGCTCGGCAGCGGTTCCCAGATTTTGCCGAAGAGGGTTTACCGCGTGGTGCTCCGAGCGCGTCCGTCTTGACCAACGGTACACATACCGGCCTGCTAGCCGGTTCGCTAAGCGGTTTGCCGACTCCGTCAGCTCTGCCAACGATTTCTGTTTTACCAAGATTCTCCGACTCTGCTGTGCACTTACGAAAGCCCTTGGGATTTTCGAGCATTCCTTCGTCGGTCTCTGCCACGTCAGCGCGGGCCACTTCAGCACGCGCGCCGCCGGAAATGTTCCGCGGTAAGGGCACGGCTCGGCCATTGCTAAACCCTGGCGCAGTGACTTGCCGCTGTTCCATGTGCGCGAAGGTTTTGCGCGTCTTTCCCCGCGCCCGGGAACGGGTTTGGCGCGCCCGCGTCGTCCGCGCGACTGAGCCGTCGGGTCGCCGCCCCCGCGTTCCCCCCTTCCTGAAGACCGCGGCTGCGCCGCCCGCAGCCCCATCCGCGCCTTCCGCAGCCGAACCTGCGCCAGTTACAACTGGATCTGTGCCGCCCGCAGTGTCCTCGGTACAAGCAGCCCCGTTATCGTCCTCAGCTGCTTTCAAGCAATCACTAATGACTCTATACTGTCGGCTATTGGCGCAAGCCCGCTGCTGTTAACCCGATTCCCACCACCGCCAAGCCTCCCTCCCGCCGACTCCCCGCGTATTCCCGTTCCGCTTCCCGAACCCGCTCCGCCTCTTCCGCACCTACTTCCGCTCCCCCGGCGCACCTCCGCAGTCCCGATCTTGTTGCGCCGCAATCCCTCCCCGCGCGGCCCACCTCCCCCACGCCCACGCTCCCCCTTCCCTGGCCCGCCGAGCCCCTCACTTCGCCCCCTTGCCCGAGCGCAAGGCTCCGCCCGCCCTCTCCCCCGCTCGCCCGCACGAACACCACCCTGCCGACATCCCTGCCGGCCGCCCTGCCGTCCGGCCGCGGCGCCTGCCGGCCGTCCACGCGCTGGCGGACGGCGCGCTGGCGCTGCTGGTGCCGCTGGCGGGGTCCGGGCCGCAGGTGCTGCAGATGCTGGGCGGCCCGGCGGCGTGGGTGAGGCGGTTCGTGGTGTCGATGGGTCTGGCCGTGGCGCTGTACAGTGTGAGCGTGATCGCCGCCGCGACTGCCGCGTTCTACTGGGCGTGGTGGCCGATCTGGCGCGCTGTGGCGAAGAATCTAGCGATGCGCGTTCGTTACAGACATGCTGGGGTGCAATGGGGGAGGAGGGGGAAGTGGGTGGGGTAATGGGGGGAAGGGTGGGAAGGGGAAATGGAGGGTGATAATGCTGAAGAGTCCTTTTCCTCCTCTCCGTCTTTCAAATTCCGCCTCTTTTTTCCATTCCTGCTGCGTCCATTCTCTCGCACTCTGACTCACTCTTTCTCATTTCCTCTTTCCCATTCCCTCTCACTCCCTCTTCTCATTCCGTCGTTTCGTCAGGGTTGTGGAAGGCGCGGCTGCTGGACTCACGCACTCACTCACTCACGCACTCACTCACTCACGCACTCACTCACTCTCATTCCCTCTTTCCCGTTCTCCCCCCCGGCCTGCCGTCAGGGTTGTGGAAGGCGCGGCTGCTGGACTTGCAGGTGGTGCGTGTGGGGAGGCAGACCAGGTGGCGCGTGCTGATTGGCGACCACAGCCGCACTACCCTGGAGGTCAGTTGCGCCTTCGCATTAGCGGCTACTTGGGAATAATATGTTTTTCCACCTCAATTCCAAGACCAGCTGCTTAGTAGCCACCGCGCTTTTTAGCTTACGGACAGCTCCTGTACTCATGTTTGCTCTATCTCCGCTATTTCTATCCATCCATCCCTGTCCCCCTCTCTCCCTCCCCCACCTTCTCTCTCCCCATCCACCCCATTCTTGCCATGCAGATGGAAGTGGTGCCGCCTCACAAGAGTGTGCGCCTGAGCCGCGGCGACCCAGTGGAGCTTCTTGTCCTATCTGACTGCCCCTCGCTCTCACGATTCCGTGCCGCCCGGAGATCTTCTTCCCGCAGCGGTCCCTCTGGCGTGGGGGACAAGCAGGCGTGTGTGGAGCGGTCAGTGTTTGAGGAGATGCGGAGGAAGGTGGCTTTAAGAGCCGCTGTGGAGGATGGGGAGGACAGCGAGGGGGAGGACTGGGACGGGCTGTACTCGTTATTGACTGATGAAAACGAGCAGTTGCTGCAGAATTATAGCTATAACGAGGCGTCTAGTATGCAGGCGGAGATGGATGGTGGCGGGGGGAAGGGTGTTGGGGGGAGCCTGGGGGGAGGGTTACCTGGGGTGGGTGGTTTTGACGGGGTGGCTGGGGGTATGTCTGGGGGAGGCGCGTCTCTGGGCGGAATCACTTCTTTCCCTGAAAATTTGGGGGTAAAGGAGGAGCAGGAGTTAATGTCCCATCAGGGGTTGCTGGATTACTCTGCGATGGAGGGAGCAGGTTCGGGAGGATTCCGAGACCCGGCGCTGGTTAGTAGCTTCGGCGGCGGAGGCTCGGTAGGGGCGGTGGCGGATGGGCTGGCAGCTTCGTCGTCGTGCCTGATGGATGGTGGAGGTTCGGGGCCGCTGTCTGTGCTTCTGAGTGACAGCCAGGATTCGGAGCTGCTGGAAAGGTTAAGGGAGGTGTGAAGCGGTGACAGAGATTTTAAAAGGCTACTGATTTTTCATGGGAAGGGGTGCCTCTGAGTTACTCACAGTGAGCAAGACTCAGAGCTGGGTGTGAACTCCGAGTTGCGTTGTAGCAGCAGCTGGAGCAGTGTGATGAAGACGAGGCAGTCCGTGTAGCTGCAGAGTACTCGGCTTCTGTAGTGGTACGACTTTTGAGAATTCTCAAAAGTCGTACCAATATATCATGCGAGAAGCATCTGTGGCATCTGTAGCATCACGAATGTGGCATCTGTGGTGGCATCCGTAGCGGCCAAGGCATTTGACCTGCCGCCTCCGGTCAAGATCGTGAGTCACTGCTGCAGTAACCATGCTTCTGTAGTGTGGATTGCTTCACCTTCATGTGCGCTTCAGAGTGCTTCACCTCATGTGTGTGCCCAGTGATTGTCTCTGCCTGCCCTGCTGCGTGCATACGGTCGCGTCTTGTGACCCTTGCACTGGTTTGGGGTGGAAGGCACTTGGGCAAGCTTCCAGTGAGCAGGTGGGATGTGCGGATGAAGAACAGAATGTTCATTTGGAAGTTTGCAGCCTCCTGGTATATGCGGGTGTAGATTCTAGGAGTAACGTCTGTAGCATGGGTAGCGAAAGTTTGTTGTTTAGTTGTAGATTCCCGTTAGTCATAAATGACATGCAAAATTGCTAAGATCAGAACACAGCTCATTGCGGGTACTAATCACTGAAACAAAAAGACTACACTATCTAAGGGATCTCAGACAGGTGACAATGGTACCATTTATTACCAGCATTTGGATATACTGTCGGGTGATGAGTAATACACCCAGTCCCATCTGACAACCGGGTGTTGCGACTTGGTCTTTCTGAAAACCTGCCAATCACCAAAAAGTTAGTGCTGGGCAAGGAACTCACAAACTACTTATAGCAAGCTATGCTTTTCCTACGGTACTTGAAACCTGAATATCGTAATCTGCCGCAGCGGTCTTGTTTTATTTGACTCTAGAAGGCCCGGTATCAAGCACGGCAGCAGCATTTGCTCGATCTCTTCGCACGTGAACACTCTCACATCCAGAGTCCGATGGCTTTGAATCACGTTCCTGCAGCGAGGGGAGGGAAGGGCAAGGGGAAGGGAAGGGGGGAGCATTTGCAATATTCCTGAGGCCACTCAAACCCTGTCTACACAGACCCTTACGGTCTGTGACTCTGAACCAGGAAAGGGGGATGGCACAGACTCAATTTCTGAGGGCCCTGGTAACCCAAGCGGTAGAAAAGGCACCTCAACAAAGGCAGTCCCACCCACCTGTGCCGAACGATGAAGTCTCTGTATTTGTCCAGCGCCGTTTGAGTGTCATCTTCTTGACGTGCAGGCAGGGGGGTGCACTACGTGGCGTCTCAACAAAAACAGTTCCAACTTACCTGTGCCGAACGATGAAGTCTCTGTATTTGTCCAGCAACCGTTTAAGAGTCATCTTCTTGACATGCGCGCCGCAACTCCCGGTTAGGAAATGGTCCACGCCATGTAGCGTTGCTTCATCTGCTCCACTGTGTAGTTAAAGAGCTTGAGCCTGTAAAGGGGATGGGCGGACAAAATATTAGACAGTCAACAAGGAGGGGGGCGGAAGTGGCTGGGTGTGTGAAGAAAGGAGCGGATCAGTGGATTGTCAGAGAAGGGGGGGTTGGTGGTGGGTGTGATGGGGGATAATTGGAATGAGAAAAAAGTCAGAAGAGACACATTCTATATCTAAGGACAGCATCGCGTGACAGGACACACCTTTTTACGAGAGAGGCGGTGTCGAGGCGGTCATCGGACCACACCGGGTCAAACTGCGCATGGGGAGACGCGTGGGGGGAGGGGGTGTTGGGAGAAAGCGAAGTGGTCAAAGGCGGTCATCGGAGCACACCGGGTCAAACTGGTCGTGGGGAGATGGCGGGGGTTAGGAGGGGGGTTGGGGGGAGAAATGGGGGGGGGGGGAAGTGAGGTGTTGGGAGAGACAGCGAAGTGATTGAGGCGGTCATCGGACCACACCGGGTCAAACTGCTCATGGGGAGATGGCGGGGGTTAGGAGGGTGGGGGGGGGGAGGGGGGGTTTGGAGGGGGAAGGGGGGGTTGGAGGGGGAAGGGGGGGTTGGAGGGGGAAGGGGGGGTTGGAGGGGGAAGCGGGGGTGGGGTTTAATGGAAGACAGCAGAGTGGTCGTGGCGGTCATCGGACCACAGCGGGTCAAACTGCTCATGGAACACCATGGGGAAACGCAGTCACGCGAGAAATTTGGGAGCGAAGTCTTGAATATGAAGCAGCTAAGCTCTGTAAATAAAAGGCGTAGAGAGAATTTTCGCAAGAGAGGTCCACCTTACCTGTCAACACACACACCAAGCAGCAAGGCAAACCTAGGATAGGCGAGGGAGGCACATACTCGCAAGCAGTGCACACCTTGGCGAGGGAGGAGTTGATGAAGCGGTCGCGATGGCTGTCCACTATGGCCCCGTAGTTGCCAATCCATGCCGTTCCCAGCAACCTGCCTGCGTCCGCACTGTGGTGTGCATCATAAGTGGGAAGGAAGCATGGGGAAAAGGGCAGATCAGGAAAAAGGGAGGAGGAAAGGGGAGGTAGTGAGTGGGTGGGGAATGGATGGACGGTGGTGAGGGATGGTGGGGTGAGAGACGGTGGGTTGACGGGGCGGTGGAGTGGGACCGTGCAAACTCACTCACTACAGGCCTCTTGGATACCTTTGAAACAAGCCTCCAGAATGCACGCTTCTCGATACTCCACGCGTCGATTCTGGTGTGCACGTATGCGAGGTTGTTCATAAGAAACAGCTCCCCCAGCGAGTCATCCCTTGGCATGAACGCATGGTGCTGCAGGTTCACAACGAGGGCCTCTAGGATGCGCGCAGCAGCCCACGTTTTTCATACTCACGCGTCTATTTTGGTGAGCACATAAGCCAGGTTGTTCATGAGGAACAGCTCCCCCAGGGCGTCATCCCTTAGCATGAGCGCGCGGTGCTGCAGGTTCACTTTGAGGGCCTCCAGGATGCGCGCAGCAGCGAACAGCAAAGAGCGCCTCTAGGATGCAAACGGGGACTCCAGCAGTCACAAAAGCTAGGCACTCACGCGTCTATTTTGGTGAGCACGTAGCCAGGTTGTTCATCAAAAAGAGCTCTCCCAGTGCGTCATCGCGCAGCATGAGAGCGCGGTGCTGCAGGTTGACTTTGAGGGCCTCCAGGATGCGAGCAGCAGCGAAGGCGAGGCGGCCCTGCACGCGCGGGCGTGATGATGGAGGAGCCGGCCTCGTTGGCGGTGTTGGCCATGTCCTCAAACACGCACTCCAGGATGGAGAAGTACGGCAGGTCGCTGGGGGAGGGGGTGGGTGGGTGGGTGTATGTGGGTGGGGGTTGTTGGGAAGAAATGCAGAGGAATACGGGTCAGTGATGGTGAAGCTGCTTGCCTCGTTGCCTTCCTGTGTTGGCCATGTCCTCAAACACGCACTCTAGGATGGACAAGTGCGGCAAGTCGCAGGGGGTGTGTTTGAGTGGATGGTTGTGGGGGTCGGGGTGGGCAGCGGGATGCAGAGGGATATGGAGGGTGGGATGTGTGGGTGGGGGTGGGAGCGCGTGTGCGGATGGGACGGTGGGGGAGGGGATGGGTGTATGTGTGTGTATGTGGACGGGCGGGTGGGTGGAGATGGGTATAACCAACCCATCCTCCCATGCTCATATCAGAGCATGTAACCCCACCAACCTCCCCATCCCATTCCCACACACGCTCACCTGTTGCAGAGCAGCAGCAGGTAGTTGACGATGTAGACGGTGTTGGGTTGCATCCATTAATGTGCCTTGGGGCACGTATACCCCCCATCATTTCCACCCACCCCTCCCAGTCCCACGCCACCTCTTTTCCATCCCCACCTGTTGCAGGGCAGGCAGCAGGTAGTTGACAACGTAGCTGGTGATGGGTGCACGTCCCTGCAACATGTGTTATCACCGCCTTCCCAGCCACCCTCCCCAACCACCCTCCCCCGTGCCACCCCATCGTACTTCTTCTCCCAGCCCCCCCACCTGATGCAGAGCAGCAGCAGGTAGTTGACAACGCAGCTGGTGATGGGGTGCACGTCCCCTCTGGCGTGAATTGAACCACTTACTACCACACACCCCACCCCACTCTACCTCTCTGCACCCATGCTCACCTGTTGCAGAGCAGCAGCAGGCAGTTGACAGCGCAGCTGGTGATGGGGTGCACGTCCCCACTGGCGTGAATTGAACCACTTACTACCACCCCCCCCACCCCACTCTACCTCTCTGCACCCATGCTCACACTGTTGCAGAGGCAGCAGCAGGTAGTTGACCACGTAGCTGGTGATGGGGTGCACGTCCCCACTGGCGTTGGATGCTGCCACGTCCTGCTGCCCGCCCACCTCGCTCATATTGTCGTCCGCCTTCAGCATCATCCTGGGAGAAGGGGAATGAGGAGGAAAGAGAAGAGGGGATGGGAGATGATGCATGATGATGCCACGTCCTGCTGCCCGCTCACCTTGCTCATATTGTCGTCTGCTTTCAGCATCATCCTGGGGAAGGCAGGGGGTGGGAAACGGAGGGAGCAGAGGACAGGTGCGGGGGGGGAAGTGAAGGGGTAATGAGTTACAAGCATCACGCTGCCGAGCTTTGTTGCCCACCCACCTCGCTCATATTGTCGTCTGGCTTCAGCATCATCCTGGGTCGGGAAGGGGGGTACCGAAGTCAGTAGGAAAGCGAAGGGGGGATGAGAGTGAAGGGGGGAAGAGAGAGAAGGGGGGATGAGAGTGAAGGGAGGAGAGAGCCGGAATCCGCTGCCACGTTCCGCTGCAGCCTGTCAACCTCGTTCATCGGGCTTTGGGGGGAATAACGGGGGAATGGCGTTGAATGAAGAGGAAGATGAGGGTGACAGGAAGAACAAGCATCAAATGAGACAACCTGAAAGTAGTTGCGCAGTCTGCATCAAGAAAATCAGAAAGAAAATAAAGGGGGAAAAAAAGCACTTACTTCTTTAGCTTGTTAAGGAACCCTCCGTTTCGAAGCATCTCCGCACGGGGGACGTTTCCAGGCTGACCCATGCTGCCCATACCCCCCATGCCGCCCATGCCCCCCATGCCGCTCATATCCTCCGCCGTCGGCTGTGCCTTCACCGCGTCCTCAAACTTTTCAAACGTGTCTCGGGCTGCCCGCCCCAAAATCGTCAGCAGTTCCTGGTAGTTGTCCCGAACTGCCCTGCCCTCCTCTGCTCGATATAGCTCATCCACCTATAGTCACAGAGTGGGGGACGGGAAGAGGGAAGAGGGGAGGAGTTGGAGGGGGGGAGGAAGGAAGAGGGTTGGAAAGGAAGGGCATGGGTGTTGACTTGATCATGCACCATCAACTAGCATTGATTGGCGTTTACTCAAGCCAGGACATACCGTGGACTCGAGGTCGAGCGTTGTCTCGTACATGTTGAGGAAGGAGAAGAGGCGCTGGGAGGAACTCCTAACTTGGCATGCATGCATGAGTACCGTTGGCTAGCGTTGACTAGGTGCATACCGTTGACTTGAGGTCGAGCGTTGTCTCCCACATGTCTAGGAAGGAGAAGAGGCGCTCGGGGGACTTTCTGCCTTGAGCATGCAGTTTCAATAATTGACTAATGTTGACTAGCATTGACCTGAGTCAGCACTCACCGTGGACTTGAGGTCGAGCGTTGTCTCGTACATGTCGAGGAAGGAGAAGAGGCGCTCGGGGGATTTTTTGATGACTGAGATGGCATCGCCAAAGTGTGTGAGCAGGATGATGCAGGAGCGGGAGAGATCCACAAAGCACTGCTCGCCGTGCTTCTCCAGGCCTGCAAACACCTGGTCGCACGCCTCCCTCTCGCCCGCCACCAGAATCATCTGAAGGGGAAGGTTTGTCGAAAAAGGGTAAGCCAAGGGTTTTAAGATGGCCTATCCAATCTAAACACGAAGTCGCACACCTTCAGACATGATACAAGTCTCCTGGTCGCGGACTAGGAGGGTGGGTAAGAGGGAGAGCAGGATGATGCAGGAGCAAGAGATGTCCACAAAGCACTGCTCGCCGTGCTTCTCCAGACCCGCAAACACCTGGTCGCATGCCTCTCACTCCCCCGCTACCAGAATTATCTGCGGAATTATATTGGCAGAACAGGGAGTAAGCTAAGGGTTCAAGAGGTGCCTTTGTAAACACGACCATCACACCCCGAAAAAAATAAGCAACGGGGGTAATGTGGGGCAAGAGAAAGGTGGGAAAGGGAGACCGAGGGGGGCAGAGGAGGAGCAAGGGGATGGGTGGGCAGGAAGGGGGAGCAAGGGGAACCGAGGACGGGCGAGGGGGAGCAAGAAGGGCCATGGGAGGGCAAGGGGGTGCAAGGGAATGGTAGGCTTCTAGAGTGACATTAACAACCTGGTCGTGTACTATGAGGGTGGGCGAGAGGATGCGCATGCAGCATGCTTGTGTGGTTTCATCCACGCGAATGCACATGCCCTAATGCGCATGTGCTAGCACATCAATCACTCACCCCGAAGTGCATGAGTCAATTCTCTACATACAACGATGTGCATACATACCCCGATGTGCACGTGTCCACCATCCCACATATCCCAATGTGCATCTGCATGTGTCCACCCTCCTACATACCCCGATGTGCATGTGTCCACCCTCCCACATACCCCGATGTGCATGTGTCCACCCTCCCACATAACCGATGTGCATGTGTCCACCACCCTCCCACATAACCCGATGTGCATGTGTCCACCCTCCTACATACCCCGATGTGCATGTGTCCACCCTCCCACATACCCCGATGTGTATGTATCCACCATCCCACATACCCCGATGCGCATGTGTCCACCACCCTCCCACATACCCCGATGTGCATGTGTCCACCCTCCCACATACCCCAATGTGCATGTGTTCACTCCAGCGCCGCATCTTCTCCTCCAGCCGCGGCCACGGGGTGCTCTGGATCTCCGCCTTGGTCACCTGCTGCACGCCCAGCCGCTGGAAGTTGCGCTTCAGCGCCGCCTCCCGCATCTCGCTGCTCCGTTGGAAGGGGACACGGGAAGGCAGAACATGAGGTGGGTAGGGGGTGGGTGGGAAGGGGAAGGAGAAAGGGAATTGGGGGGGGGGTGGGGAAGGGGGGTGGGTGTGGGGGGAGAGTGTGGGGGGGAGGGGAGGAAATGAGAATTTTCTAGGTCACTTGCTGCACGCCCATCCGGTAAAAGCTGCGCTTCAACGCCGCCTCCCGCATCGAGCTGGCGGAAGAAGCCGGGCGAAAGCAGACGACGGGGAGCGGGTCGATCAAAACGAGAACGTAGGCGGGAGAATAAGGTGATGCTGGTGATACCTGCTGCATGCCCAGCTGCTGTAAGTTGCACGTCAATGAACGGAGGAGTCATCTGCAGGTAAGTTGGCCAGAGACTGTATGTATGATACGACAGCGATGATATTTATGTGTTACCTAAGTAGTGACGTGCAGGTAAGTCTGCCAGAGACTGTACAATGGCCAATAGACTTTCTAAGGTGTTTCGAAGTAGTCATGTTCGGGTATAAACCTCTCAAAACCCGTGCAGACCTGCGCCGAGAAACAAACGAACCATATTTTCAGCCCACGGCTTACTCACCGGTACATTTTGCAACAGTCTGGCGCGCAGTCGTTATCGATCAACCGCTGGGCCATGGCATGTAGTTTCGGAATGGCTGCAGCCTCCACCATCTCCGGCGGTGATATGTGGTCAGGTGATTCCTCAGATAGCATCGCCTCCCTCAACTCGTCTAGGTTGGGAAACAAACTGGAAAGTCACACCGGAGAACGCGGGTTACAAGAGTTGAGGAGAGTAACCGGCATAAGCGAAATGGAGGACCAGAGACATGATTGGCGTGCAAGGTTACGAAAACGGACGAAACCAGCTTATTGGTCGCGAAACAGGATATCCTGATTCGCTTGAACTGACTAAGTGCTTTCAAACGGAAAACAGTGGAATTTTCCTACGTCCTGATGTCGCAAATTAACGCCTTTTCTAAAGAAAAAATCAACCACCTCCTCGTGCTATTGATGTACGTTTTTTGCGCTAAAAGAACGACTGTGTCCTGCAAAAATGCTATTAAACTCAGGTGGTGAAGCTACCTGCTGTTAGTTAGCAGCTTGCTGAAGTCTTGCTTTACATTCTCCATCGCCTTAGCAATAAGGTACCGGCCGTTTCTTAGCTCCTCCTCTATAAACCGCACTGCACCGTGCAGCCGATCTATGGCCTCCAGATACGCGTAGTACGAGTTGTTGCTGTTTCCAGGACCCCCCATGATAACGGACCGAACCTGAACCAAAAGCGGAAAACGCGATAGCAGTCGACGACAACATATTTTCTTCCGTGAGCAAAGAGCACGAGGTTTCCCAGAGTTGGTAGCAAAAATAGACAGCTTTAAGTACCAAAAAAGTTAAAGATGAAGTATTTTACCTGATTAGGGACCTCGATGTGGGACAGAAGCGCCACTGGGTCTGACATCGGAATGATCGGCTCGTCGTCCATGGCTCCTAATGAGCTGTAGACTAATTTGGTACTTCCTTTTAATCTTATTCAGATATTCCTACACCCTGAGAAATACGGCCAGGAAACGTCTACGGTCGTTAAAAATGGAGGAAACAGTACCAGTTGAAAGTCTTTTTCAAAAGAGCATGGTGATCAAACCGTCAGTCTTTTTATTGCGAACTGGAAGCGGGATGCTACGAGCACTTTTCGCATGGCTTTGATGACGATGCAAGATAAGTTAACTGAATCGATGCACGAAGGAACAGTGATGTTTAACCTAAACCAGGGAAATGCAAGTGCAAAGCCAACCTTAACCAGACCCAGGCATCCATATGAGACAGAGAGATTAGCAAACTATACCGAGCCAGCAGCTACAACGAACCGAACATCAAGATAAGGACACCAGCCGTGGTCTGACGCACGTTCTACAAGATCGGGTGTGAAAGTCCGAGACTGAAGGGAAACGAGTAAGCTTTCTTTCGGTTTGACCTAGATACTGCCATTGCCTGTCTCCCAAGCTTCCATCCATTTTCTAGGGGGTCTGCTTTGATGTGGGTGGGTGGGTGTCTGTCGGTTTCAGTCTGACTATCACGAGTGGTTTGGTTGGGTACAGTATGGTAACTCAGCCGTCAGGACCAAGGTTCCCTTCGAACCTTCCATGCTCCAAAAACCTGCCCGTATCACTGTGCTTCAAAGGGGGTCACGGAGGTCGAGCATTTCTATGTGGGGGACTCTGGGTTATCAAGCACTCACCCTGTCCCATGAACAACGGGCAGGCTTGGAAATATTCATGGAGGACGACAACTCCGCTGTTGTTGATGTCTTTTGCATATCCTCGTCTACAAGTGGTTTCAGCGACTGCTGTTTCGCTCATGTGCACCTTAGTACCAGTAAGTCTATAAACAGATTCACGTATCAAATACAACATCTCCTCCAATAGGTAAATGGTCACTAGGGAAGTACAGGTTTGGCAAACCCCAGCCAAGTGAGAATCGGAATCATTCGGAATCCACAGAGTGGAGTGCACAGAAAAACCTCCAGAATCTCTAGATACAAAAATGTAGTCTAGGGTTGCCTTGAACTCCGAAGTGAAGCTTGTAAAAGCCGGCTCGAGGTTCTGTGGCAAGTCTTCCCAATCAGTTGGTGAGGTATGAGCAGCATGGCACATGGATCGCTCTTTGGCCGCCAACGCGTTAAGACTTGCAAGTGGAATCGGCGCATCATTGGCTGCTGAGCAACCACCCGCAGAGCCTTCGCCTCCCGACCTACAGTCTTCTTCGTAACTCTCATCGCTTGTGCTGCCGGAAAGAAGATACCTATAAACCTGAAGTGCAGGGCCAGAAGTGGGGTATTTGGCATGTATTTTAGTAATTCGTAGGAAGAGCACGTGGAGTAAGGAGGAAAGTGCTATACGTGGGAGCGCAAAGGGAAGCTGAAACTGCAAACTGAACCCTGAGCAAACTGCAGAAAAGGTCACGAAAAGTCTTACTGGGTCTCCAGGCTTCGAGTTGAAGTCACCACAAATGACCACCGGAATTTGATTCTTCTCCTTCTTCCCCTCAACGCGCGAACCATCCGCGTGAAAACCGCCTCCTCTTAACATAAAGTCAGCACTTAGCTGCGATGCCCCGTGGCAGTGGTGATAATAAAGGGCTTCTATATCCGATCTGAATCGTGACACTTCCTGCAGCAGGTACCGGGCCTGCGCCAGTTTCACATCAGGACAGTTGGGGTTCCTGCAGAGGTCACAAAGAACACAATGAGATGGCATGAACACAGTGGGGTGCCACGAATACAGTGACATGGCCCAAGCATAGAGTGGAGTGAGATGGCCCAAGTTTAGAGGTAGAGTGGTTTGGAGCGGGGTGCAAACAGGTGGATGGGTGCTCGATGGTCGATGGCCCGTCTAAATGCCATCACATCAAACATCGCACACTGCCACACTTGTTAAACAGCACAGGGCGGAACTGGTTGGAACATGCGTTGGGGTTTGGTGTGTGGGAGAGGGAGGGTGGGGGGATGGGGATGGGGAAACGGAGGGAGACAGGCACTGCATTGTACCAGTATATGTGGGACGAGACCACGATGACAATGCGACCTCCACCAGGTGCGCCCTGTGCAGAAGGACCCCCAGCTGTTTCAGAGGAGCTGGAGGAGCCAGGCGGGCTAATCTCTTCAAAGGCAGCAACAACAGCAACGCAGTCTCGCTTAAATCGAATCTGAGGATCCGACAAGTCAGGAGGCTGGTGATGCTGCTGGTGGTGATGATGGTGATCATGCTGATGATGCTCCTGCCCTTGCTGTGCCTCCTTCTCCTGCTGCTGCTGGTCTGGATGCTGCTCGTTATGACTGACGCCTTCTTGATGGTCAGGGTCGATCTTCTCATTGCACATGTGATGATCGTCCAACCAATGAATGTGATGACCCGAACCACGACGGTCCTCCTGCCCTTGCAGCTGCTCCTCCTGCTGCCGCTGGTCCAAGTGATGTTTTTCGTCCAATGAATGAATGTGATGACCCGAACCATGATAATGCTCCATGCGGGGGCTCTCAACCCGATGCTTGGCCTGCTGCTCATGGTGCTCCCCATCCTCCTTATAAGCAGGCCTTGTATAAGCACTGTCTGTTCCTTCATCTTCAGGGACGAGGTCGTTGAAGTTGATTACGCTGGAACAAATCACTCGAAACCTGAAACGCCATGAAGGGTGGGAAAACATTCGCCAAAGGTAAAAGTGGGAGGAGCAAGGGTGTGTGGTTGGAAACTTACAAGTGGTTGGCGTGGTGGCGAGAGGGTGGAGTTAAGGAAGGCAATCTCTGACCAGAGATTGCCAACAATAACACATGGCCACCCCAGCACGCACACAGTATGCCCTCTTGCACATGGCCATGCCTGCATGTATGTACCTTTCAGAGCGGTAGAAGATGCCGCTACCATCAGCATGTGGGCCTGGCCGCTTGGCATACACCACATGCCATCCCTCTAGAGCCATCGGCGTGTGAAGTAAATGCTTGTGCTCCATCTCCTGGAATTGCATCAGGTGGGTGGCAATGAAAGACAGGGAAAAAAAAAGGGGGGGGAAGGGTAAGGAATGTGAGTCAAAACATTTTTTTCAGGAGACTCACAATGTGAGGAATGTGCGTGTATCCTTACAATAAATTAGGTAAGGAGAATCATGGAGACGAAAGGGGTTGTAAGCACCGCCTCTTCTAGCTAGGCAAGTGACTGCAACAGGAGCCATATGTCACAATGGCACCGTGAATCCTTGTTCCTTTCAGCATCAAATGAATTCGAAACTGAATGAGTTTAAGAGCAAGAGCCCATGGATGAATGGTGTTTAAAAAGCCTATGAAATGGGTGGGGGGGGGGGGGGAATGAATATGGTAGGCTCACCTGAACGCAGATGAAATCAGCAGCGAAGGAGTTGAGGAGGGAGAGGCGGGCATGGATGCGGTAACTCTTTCTGATGGTTGGGACGAAGGTGGACGCGGGATTAAGGTGAAGGCTGGGCGACAGGGGAGTGGAAGGGTAAGGTGACTGGCTGGTGCAGATGAGTGAGAGATGGAGGAGTGACGAAAAGTGGACAGCATTAGGTAAGAGCGCAGCTGAGACTAGAGAGCTGTGAAAGTGGGACGGTTGTAGAGAAACATGGAAACAGGAAACAACTGGGAATAACCCGCCACATCAGGGGAAAAAATAATGTAATAAGCATGTGAAATATGAGGTGTACCTGTGAGAGAGGGGAGGAGCGGTGTACCTTAGAAAGATGGGAGTAGAGGTGCACCTTAGAGAGAGGGGAGGAGAGGCGGGAAACTTCTTGCGCGAGACAGCTGCAAGAATGATCAGGGCCGGGGCGGGTACAGCGAGGGTGGGTACAGAGAGAGTGGGCACAGAGAGAGTGGGCACAGAGAGAGTGGGTGTGGAGAGAGTGGGTGTGGAGAGAGTGGGTGTGGAGAGAGTGGGTACAGAGACGGGGAAAAGGTAAAGCATGCTCGGAGATAACACAAAAGCAGGGAATTATATGAGAAAGAAGAACCTTTAGCAATCTGTAAAAGATGCAGATGATTAGAATGCATGAGAGAAAGGCGAAAGATAATCTAACAAGCAAAAGACGGGTTGCTACTGGTATACTGTACACACAAGCCTGGGCGAGGACGTTGTATGAGACCACGCGGATGGCGAACCCTGGAGAACCAATGTAGGTTACGTGGGGAATGGGTTGAGAAACATCAGAAGTGAGGGCTGTAGTAAAAAAAAATGGGACCCCTGAACCTGGAAGTTGGAATAGGGCGAGAGTGGAGGACACGAGTGAAGCAGCCAGACTCCCAGAGATGTTTGAGTCGACTCAGAAAGCGACGGTTGAAATAGAAATAGAAAGAAGGAAGCGATACAGACATGAGGTTTCAAGGGGCGGGGATACGAACTGTACGGAAGAAGAGACCGTGAGCTGAGAAGTAAACGACACGAGACCCCAATGGGGCAACGGGACGGTCGAGTATAAAAGTCGTACCATCATGGTGCTGCCGCCCTGAAGTTGCCGTCCGTATTTTACGCTCAGCTTTCTCGTCTTGCTCCGTCAATGCTTCGTTAAGAGCTTCTTCGCTACAGCAGCTAACCTCCACAAAACTTGGTAGGACTGGAGCGGGCTCATCAATTGTGCTGCCCTCTGCCTTCTGTTTCAATGCTGACGCACCTCCTGACGCATCTCCTGCCGAATCCCCTGACACATGGCCTGACGTATCTCTTGACGCACCGACTGAGTCATCTCTTGACGAATTTGCTGACGTAACTGGTGACGTAACTGGTGACGTAACTGGTGAAGTAACTACAGAAGCATCTCCTGACCTACCTCCTGATGCATCTGCTGACACATTCGTTGACTTTGCTGGCTCACTTCTCGCTGCAGCCGAGTCTATCGGTAACGGAAGCGCACTACTGTGCAATGTAATTCCAACCTGGTTCTCTTCCTTTTGTTCCCTACCATCGTCACCACTCATTCTCCGACTCTCGCAAGCACCTGCGACATGAAACCTTCGACCATGCGCTCTGCTGCTTGAATGGAGGAGACCGTTTGGTTTGATGCAACTCATTGAATTCCCCAACCTTGAAAGCAGCAGAAGTCTAGATCCCCTAGACAAAGTGGAAATCCCTAAAGAAGCCATGGCGACGGTTGAGAGAGAAATCACTCTCGAGAAATCTGAACTCGGAAAGCTGGAGTCGCGGCATGAGTGGATGCCGGGACGGAGCTTTACATGCAAATAATCTGTGCAGTGACATTGAAATGAAAATGGTCATCAGCGGAACATAAGGCCACACATGCTGGTGCCATCCAAAATTTCAAATACATCGCGATAAGACTCTTCGTTGAGATTTTCCTACAATCACTTCCTTTCAAAGTACCGTATGAAAACAGATACAAACCGCGGTTCGTTTAGTCATCCATATGGTGCTCTCTAAAGTTTGTTTTTCAAGCGTCACATAGCTATTATGTTCATAATTACTTATCAAATCAAAGCTTGTTGCTGCCTCTATATCACGATAGCCATATAAGCTATTTGGGGTGCCGAATGGACAATAGGTCGTTATCGAATCACTTCACAAAGGGTCAATGTGTACAAGCCGTTTCTCCTTACCTTCCTGGCTTTGTTCTGTTTCTTTTCCAGTTCAGTCTCCTCCCCGCTCACTAGATCTGGTCGGTGAGGGTCACTTGCTGTTCTAGGTTGACTAGTATTGGTACCCTTGCAAGTCAATCAGGTGGCTAGTTTTTTATTAGCCTTATTAGCTCTCGCCGTTTCTTCGATTAGGTTGCGACGAGACTGCTTCACCCTCCAGTTTAAGGCGACAGTTCGAAGAACGACAGGCAGCTTTTGACTCACCTATCATGATCTCGCAGTTTTTCATCCTCTCTCCCCGCGGCGATTCCATAATCTTTCGAGATTACCGCTGCGATGTGCCGAAAACGAGCCCCGAGATCTTCTTTCGGAAATTCAGGTTCTGGAAAGGCGACAATGAAGCAGCCGAAGAAGCTCCCCCGATCTTCAACCTGGATGGAGTGAATTACCTCTACATTAAGTGCTCTGGCCTGCTATTCGTCGCCACGGCCCGCGGAAATGTTTCGCCGTCTTTCGTCCTGGAGCTCCTTCAGCGGATCGCTCGCGTTGCCAAGGACTACCTCGGTATTCTCAACGAGGAGTCTCTTCGGAAGAACTTCGTCCTCGTTTATGAGCTGCTCGACGAAATGATGGACTTTGGGTATCCGCAGAGCATGTCCACGGAGGCGCTTAAAGCGTTCGTTTTTAACGAATCAGTACCGATCATGGACTCGTCGCCTCTGCCGGGAGGGGTACCTGGGGGTGGAATGATCGTTCCTCCTGCGCTTGGGGGAGCTGCTGCTTCGCTGTTCATGACTGGCGGTCGGAATCGGGTCCCAGGAGCGGCTATGATGAGATCCGTGGTGGCTCCTGATACAGGCGTAAAGAAGCGGGAGGAGGTGTTTGTTGATGTGATCGAACGGCTGAGCGTGACTTTTAGTCCCAACGGATACATCCTGACGTGTGAGATTGACGGAACCATACAGATGAAGAGTTATCTGACCGCGAATCCTGAAGTTAGGATAGCTCTTAACGAGGACCTCGTTATAGGCCAGAGGAACGCTCCAGCGTCGCTGCTGTATGGAGGGGGAGGCGGGATGGGGGAGGATGGAAGCGGAGGATTCGGAATTGTTGTTCTGGATGACTGCAACTTTCATGAGAGCGTACGGTTGGATACCTTTGATGTGGACCGGACAATGACTCTCGTGCCACCAGACGGGGAGTTCTCAGTCATCAATTACCGCATGACGCATGAGTTCAAGCCTCCGTTCCGGGTGTATCCGGTTCTGGAGGAGATCACCCCTTTCAAGGTAGAGCTGTTCATAAAGTTAAAGGCAGAGTTTCCCGCCACAGCAACCGCCAACTCCATTGTCGTCCGTGTGCCGCTGCCCAAGAGCGTGATTAAAGTGAGCTGTGATTTAGACCCTGGAGCTGTGGGGCAGTCAACGGATTTCAAGGATGCGTCCAAGATTCTGGAGTGGACTATAAAGAAGATGCCCGGTGGTGGGAATGAGCATACATGCCGGGCCAAGATGACCCTGAATCAGGAGCGGGGCTCAGGGAACATGAAGAAGGAAACTGGTCCAATTAGCCTGTCGTTCAATATCCCCATGTACAACGCATCTAGACTCCAGGTAAGGTATTTGCAGGTGTTGAATAAGGGCAAGGCGTACAATCCATACCGCTGGGTGAGGTATGTCACCCATGCCAATTCATACGTGGTGCGTTTATAATGGATTGAAGGTCAGTGGATGAGATTGGTGGTGCAGCTTCCAACAAGGTTTTTGCTCCCTTCCTGAGCTTTTTAGTTCTTACAGTTCTAGCATTATTGTTTTTGATATTTAGTGTTCATACAGAAATTACATGTTGGCCCGGGTAAGTAGGTGCGTATGCTTCCGCGGGATCAGCCTGCTGACATGCTTTCCTGTTTACAGCCAATCAGACTGGTCAAGGCCTACAACATCCACGCCTCCGCCCATTCCCCGACCAGCGTCTGAAACGCTCCTCTTGAAAGTGACTTTCGCCAAAACGCACCACGCTATGTATCATTGCAGCATACCAAACCGTTCATTACCTTTCTAAAAACTCTGTGTTGTGATGGGAAAGGGAGATAAGCAGGGATCCACCCCCCAGCAGAGCACCATGCATACCTTTCTAGCCGACATGAGTTTGATTCGTCTGATTTCGTTCGGCCTGAGATTTTCTAGTGTGTAGGGGAAGTTTCTACGAGTTCCTGCTTCCAAGCTATTAGCTAGTAAGCTTCATTTTAGATGCAGTTGCTCGTGTGAGTCATGGTTTCCGGAGTCTCATCCTTGTCAGGCGTGAGTATTGATTGTCTTGCACGCAACGTCCGATTATTTGCTGGGCAAGCCGATCAGGCACCAGGATGAGCGATTAGTATCAGCAACGTTTTATGCACTCGGTCTAAAATCAATTCAGACCTTGTAGTTTTGAAGCAGATCAAACTCAGCTCACCGATCAAATATGGGCTGGCCAGGAGCTAGGCATCGATCGTCACAAGAGGAGCTTCTAAGCAGAGTATCTGAAATGACTAACGGGGAAGGCAACATGCTGGGGAATTCTGACTTTGAGCTTTCCGTCCCAGAGAACCTAAACACCATGTCAGCGTCGTTGGCTTCGCGGCTTGCTAAGGTTGTCAAAGAAGCTGCTCTCGAAGCCAAGCTGCACGAGGAACGACTCAAGCCACGGCCTAGCCGGGAAACCCACTGGCTCGAGATATTCCGGGACTATGTCTATCCCGGACAACTGATATTGCCAGGCAATAGGTAGAGTGCGATCAAACAATAAAGCTTATATCATGAATTCTCCAGATTCGATTGATGACGCATTCGGTCTTGCATGGCAGGTTCCATTGGTACTGGAGACTAATCGTCATCGTCATGGCACTTTACTCCTCTCTTATCACCCCATTCGAGTTCGCTTTTTTCCGACTGAAATTCCCTCCTCTGGGTCTACTAATCATGGACATTGTGTCAAATGTCATATTTCTGGCGGACATTTTCATCACGTTTAGAGTAGCCGTTAAGGATCATCGAACAGGCACTCTGATCGCTGACAGAAGGAGGATTGCAATAAGGTGCGTTAGTTCTGCTATTGACACTAATTTTCTATCAACGCCCTAATCACTGATGCAGAAATCTCGCAGGTACCTGCAGGCCTGGTTCACTCTTGACTTCCTCTCATGCATTCCATGGGAATACGCATACCAGGTAACATTATTTCCTGCTCGACAACTCTCGCGGAATTTTGGGATGAGAACCTCTTGGATTTTCACTTGAGAATGGAAGTGAAATGACGGTTCTTTTCTTGCTCTTTTCAGGCAAGTGGACACCTAGTGTTCGAGATTCTTTTGTGGCTTCGACTGATCCGTGCTCGGCACTTGAAAGAAATTGCTGACAGGCAAGAACACCAGCCCTTCATACCTTTCCTTCGATGGTTCTTTTCTTTTCTTTTTTGGATTTTCTTTCCATGATGATGACCTTTTTTTTTTTTTTTTTTTTTTGCAGGTTGGGGAAGGACACGCGGTACCACTACTTTCTGGTTCGCTGCACGGAGATGTTTCTCACAGAATTTTATGTGGTCCACAGTGCTGCATGCATTATGTACTTTCTCGCTCTCACCATGCCTGAAGATCAATCAGGATACACATGGATTGGAAGCCTTCAGCTTGGAGACCAGAGCTATGCTGACTTTCGAGAAATGAACATTTTCCAGCTGTATTGTGTGAGCCTCTATTGGGCTATGGTGACAATGGCGAGTCTCGGTGAGTCCGGGAGCGTTTTCTTGTGCCATCAGAATTCTTCATGTCTCTTTTATCGAATTTTGTGGAAAGATAACCCTTACCAATGCTCCCATTTTCAGGTTATGGCGATGTTCATCCTGTCAATCCTCGAGAGATGATTTTCACCATTGCCTTCGTGGTCTGGGACATGTTGTTCACGGCATACCTTATTGCCAACTTCACAGCGCTGGTTGTCAGATATCAGTCAAGATCAGAAATCTTGCGTGAACGACTATCAAATGTTACGAGATATGCCAACAGGTGCTGCTATAGACTCTGTCGCCATCAGTTTGTGCCTGCAGTGTTCGAATCCTGCTACCGTAAGTCTGATGCCCCTTACCTTTCAACCTTTCATGTGTGCCGCCATCAGAAAGCAGATTCCTGCTGGAATGAAGGAGCAGTTGCTATCTCACGTTGTGCTGAAGCAAGAGGCGTTGGAGGAGGACAACAAGCTGGTCAACGAGTTTCCCATCTCCATCCGTGATGGGGTCGCAATGTCCCTGCATGGGAAAGTGCTCGCAGATGCATATCTGTTTCAGGGCTGCTCAAAGGCGTTCATTCAGTTCCTGGTAGGTTGTCTTGACTTGCCACACTTTCCAGTATTGTCATTTTGTTAATCGAGGATGCTTGAAACTTTGTTGTTTAGTTGTCCACTTCATTGCACAATCCACTTGCATTCCGTGATTCATACTCTTCATGCTTGTTGCAGGTTTCACGACTGCGAGTGGAGTATTTTCTTCCTGGGGAGGTGGTGGTGAGTCGGCATGACAACAACCATCAGCTCTATCTGCTCGTGCAAGGAGAAGTGGTGAGATGAACGCACTTGTTGTTCGCCCTACCTTTTTCCCACCCTAGAGTGTACTACCAGATTCAACATCCTTGTGCTGTTGAATAACCCTTCCACCTGTTTCTCTTCTTCACGCCTCTCCGCTTTCACATCTCCTTCCGTTATTGTATGCAACACGTAGGAAGAAGTCCATTTCAGCAGGAATGGAGCTCGAGTGGCCACGGTGTGGAGTCCAGGGGAGATGTTTGGGGAGGCGGGCTTGCTCGCCAGCAAGTTCTCCCCCTTCACTGCTCACGTCAAGTCTTTCTGCAAGGTGCTGAGGATCGATGGCCAGGTCTTTTCAGAGGCCACTGCGTTTCATCAGGAGGATGGAGAGAGGATTATTAGCAATTATTTGCAGGTGAGTCACCACAAGAGAATACTTTGATTTTCCTTGATTACTATGACAATGGTCCATGCATTGCTTCGTAGCTTTGGTTCATGGCGTGGCGTTGATCCATGAAACTGGTTCAGGACAATAAATCAGTCACGTCACTGTGTTGTGGTTCCTGAAAGCATATTTTAATAGGCCACACTTATTCCATCCTTCCCATCTCGTCTCCACCCTCCAACCAACCTCCCTCTCCCTCCACTCCCCACCCCTACCTTCGGTCATTGCAGAAATTTGGGCAATCTGAATCTGAACCGCTAGACTTTGGTCAGCCCAGGGCTCGTCGCCTCACAGACACGGCAGAGGAAGTGCGCCGAGCCGTGACTCAGCGGCAGGCACAGCAGACACTGAGCGCCATACAGCAAGCAGCCCGGGGGGACTTGGATCACCTCAAGATGCTGCGAAAGCTTGGAGCAGACTTTTCGAAAGGGGACTTTGACGGCCGGACTGCACTGCACCTGGCCGCCTCCAGGGGCTTTCCGGACATTTGCAGTTTCATTCTGCGAGAGGGAGGTTCTGCCAACAGGAAAGGTGAGCACAATGTTTGATTTGAAGTCGAGGAATCGTTAGCACCAGACCCTGACTGTGCATGGGATATGGTACAGCTCCTTTCAAAGCTCCTTCATTGTCACATTGTCCTTTTCTTTGGAAACCTCTGGAGTAATCTTTACTGCTGGAAGCCCTGCGAGCAGGCTACATGCAGACAGCCGAGGTTGTGCATTAACTTCCAAAGGCTTAGGGAAACCTTCATCAGTGTCTTCTTCAAGGGCTCAGGGAAGAGCCCCATCAAACTTATCCCTCCCTTATCCCCTCAGACCGCTTTGGTGTGACACCTCTACTGGAAGCCCTTCGAGCAGGCCACATGCAGACAGCCGAGGTGCTGCGGGAGCACGGCGCCCAAGTCCTCCTGGACGACCCAGCAAGCGAGCTGTGCCACGCGGTGAAGCGCGGTATGGTGGAGTACCTCGAGCGCCTGCTCTCCTTCGGCCTGGACCCCAATGAGGCGGACCACGACCTGCGCACGCCCCTGCACGTGGCAGCAGCAGAGGGGTCCGTTGTGCTCGTGCGGCTGCTGCTGGAGCATGGGGCGGATGCATGGGCGCGGGACCGGTTGGGTCACCTGCCGGTGGATGAGGCGTGCCGGAATGGGGCGAGGCCGGTGATTGCACTGCTCAAGGATGGCATGCGCGTGAAGCTGCCGCCGCTGGCAAGTCGACCACCAGGTATATTCTTGGAAGTGTTAGGAGCGAAAAAAGGCATTTTGCTTTGTCTAGGGTGCATCGAATCTGATGGTGTTTTTCAATCCGTGTGATGCGTTACCCATCCTGACGTCTGTTTGCCGCTGAGTGCATGCCATTCCTATCCTTCATCTGTTCAGGTTCTAATGGAATCTCTTGCTCTGTTCCTCCTCCAGCTGGACGAGCCTCTCTCACTCGTGGAGGCTCGCAGCGCCGTCGCCACACCCACCACCAGCCCTCATCTTCCATCGCAGGAGCCCCCGCCGCCACTACCAACACTGCCACCACCACTACTGGCACAAGTAACACTTCAACCAGCAACACTGGCAGCACTCCCCGCCACTCCCGGCCCAGCAGGCAACGCTCCCAAAGCGTCGACACCTATTCCGACCAAATCGAATCTGCCCCTGACAGCAGCAGCTCGGGAGCTGCGTCCCCCTCCACCTGCCTGCCCTCCGACCCCTTACTCCAGCAGCGCGTGATGCACCTGCGCCGCCGCCCCACCAGTTCCGTGCACATCCCCACTGACCTCCTGGCCGACCTTCCTGCTTCGGTTTTCGATGAGTACCTCTCAGAGCACCAGACTGCATCTAATCAGCCGCTCTTCACCCCTCCTGCGTCACCCCTTGCGCATCTGCTCCTGCCCAAGCTCCATGCTGCTGGTTCTTTGACCCCGCCACCCTCGTTTGATGGCGGCTCTGAGTTGCAGCCTCGCTCGTCCTCAGCGACCTTCCCACTCTCTGAACCTTTACTCCCACCTATTCCACATCCACACACCACACACACTGCACATGCCACCACGCATGCCGAACACACCGTGCACACAGCACCATACCGCTCTGCCTCTGCTGCTCTCCCCCCTGCTCCACCTGCCCCTGGCGTATCCTCTGCTCCCCGTGCACAACAGCGGCCCACGCCCCTCACCATCGACCCTCTAGACAGAAGCATGAGTCGCTCCTCCACAGCCCCGCATTCATCACTAGACGAAGTCCGCACCCAACTGATACCAGCCTCACCAGAACCCTCCACTCCCTATGCGACCAGCCAGCCCCTGTCAGGACCCCTGTTGAGAGTGGGAGAACCGATCACTCCCTACCCTCATCGCAACTACATGCCTGCAGGATCGTTCTCAGGATCTTTCAGAGCCTTGCCTCCGCCCCCAACCCCATCTGTGGCTGTGGCCAACCGCCGTGTCACAGTCTTCCCATGCCGACCATGGGACACTGGCCCAGCTGGCAATCCACCTGGGGATTCTCCTGGGGAAGATGAACTTAGCGAGGGAGCTCATGGAAGGCAACCACGTGACTGTTTGCCTGATCAGGCTGTGCATTCATCAGGGGATTCTGCATCGCCTGAACCTGGGAGCGAAGGAGGTGTTGGGAGCCGGGCTGGAGAAGAGAAGAGATTCATGGGGCGACCATATGGGAAGGTGGTGTTGGTACCCCTCTTTATGGTCACCCTGAAAGAGCAGCTGAGCACGCTGTTAGGATTCCCTGTGAGAATCCTTGTGAATAAGGATGGTGGGGAGATCACTGACACAGATACTATTTGGGATGGAGATGTCATTTTTGCTCCACCATCTGAACCTGCTCTATCTGGTAAGTTACATGTGCATGCACTAAATGTAGATGCACATGCACGTGCTGCATGCATGCTCAGTCAAGCTGTACTAATTCTACACAATCATACGAACCAGTTCTGTTTAGAGGTTTTCTCTCACTGTGGTTTTGCTTTGCTGCGCCTCTCTGCTCGTCTGTGGCAGATCCCCTTGCATGCCAATCCTGCAGATGTCGAAAAGTACCAGCACCAGGTGATTCCAATCGGTAGTGTGTATCATCCATGTGGTACTTGCGCCTGCTAGCAAATGCAATGCTAGCGTATGGCACGAACTTGCTTACATGTAACTTGTATATTGAAGTTCCAGTGTGCACCTAGTTCTACTCTCGAAATGGAAAATCAGGTGTACATGCATGGAGTAAGGATCTGTCACTAAACTTCAAGTTTTCCGCACATCCCTCCAGCACTCCAAGCACTAAACTTGTTAGCACAGCACAGCACAACACAGCACAGCAGCCAGTATTTTGTTTGCACCCATAACTTTAGATGGACCTGGCCTGAGCCTTGCTCAAAACAGCTCATTTACGTGTATGTACACCCAATTTCCAACGTTACATGAAAGAGCATACAACATACTGATGGTAAGGTCTCCACTATTGATGCACCCACGGAAGGGGAAAGACACTACCGCTCCAGCAGTCATGTGCCCAAACTGCACTTATTGCACTCCCTTCACTGTAAACCCCACAACAAAGCTTGAGAACGGTGTTGCTTGCACGGGTGAAGTGGAGTGAGAAAAGAAAGCACCAGGAGGAGCAACAGCAAGTCCACACCAGCTTAACCCCATACCCCCCCACCATCCAGCACAGCCCACCTTCGCCACTACCCAACCTCAAAACGCTCCGAGCAGCCCCAACACACCCCAGCCTTCGTCCCAGCCCGCGCTCGGCTTTTCCCCACACCGCACGCCTACAAAACCACTCCTGCTGAATCCCTCCTCCCCTGCACCCAACCTCCCAGCACACTCAGGCGGCACAGAATCGCGGAAACTAGCCTCGGAAGAGATCCCCCCTGCAGCCAATCGCCTCTCCTCTGCCACTCCTCCGCAAACTGGGAGCCTTCCACACGTCTGCAGATTGTTTAGATTCTCAACAACCGTCAAGTCACCTTCCCGTGCTGCTGCTTTAAGCGGGTCTGCTCCCATCCGACTGCCCCTCGTCGCCGTATCTGCTGCAGGTACGTTCGCCAGGTTCGCCATCGGAACCCGAAGCTGCGAGGGAGCATCGGAACCGGCAGGACTTGCAGAAGCAGCTGCTGCGTTCGCGTGTGATGATGTTAACAATGCACCTGTCTCACCCTCCCTTAATCCCCCTGTATTCTCCTTCGAATCATAAGCTGCCACCACCGCCGTAGCTTTCGCAGCCGAACGATCCACCGTCCTTTCCTCCGCCTCACGCAACAGACGCGCGCAGTGCGCGCTGCCCACCCGCTCCGCGTAATCCCGCGGGTTCCGCCCTTCCGCGTCCGCCGCCCCGCACAGCGCGCCGTGGCCCAGCAGGAGCTGCACCATCTCAGGATTCACCTGCTCCGCCGCCAGATGGAGCGGCGTTACCAGCCGTTGATCTTCCGCGTTCACCGACGCGCCGCGGTTGATCATCACGCGGGCAAGAGAAACATTTCCCGACGCTGCGGCGTAGTGAAGGACCGTTCGGCCGTACTTATCACCGGCTTTTAAGGAGCGCGGAGGAGTGCTTATAAGGAGGATCTTCGCGATGTCTTCGAGGCCCACAGCGACCGCCCAGTGCAGAGGGGTGCGATCAATCTTGTCGCGCGCCGTCACGCGCGCGCCGCGGTCGATGAATCTACGGACGGCGAGGATTCGACCGGAAAGGACGGCGGCGTGAAGCTCGGTGGCGTACGGACTGGCTGATAAGCCCATCGTATCTAACCTCTTGCTGGGCTTCAGGAGCGCGGATCGAGAATCTGACTATAAAGGAAGACGAGAACGACCAAGAAAACGATGCTAGCGTTTTTCACGGCGCGGAGGGAAGAAGAAGTTTTTAAGGAGGAATCTGGAAGAAATATACAGCTCCGTCGAAATCTAGAGAGGCAAGTCTAGCGAATTTCAAACAGGCAGTGGTATGTATGTTGCTTTTTGTGCTGTCAACAAGTTAGCGACTCTCAGGAAGCAGTGTTCGTGACTCTCAAGTTGGGTCAATTATTGGATGTGATGTGTGCCCAGCAAGCAAAGGAAAGCAATAGGAAGGAATCCTCTCCAACACGCAAATGACGCATAGCAAACGTGTAGAACAATGGAGGGGAGTGTGTGCAATGGGAACAGTGGAGTTCTGGATTGCGTGAAGAAGAGGAGCTTGTTAGGGCGTGCTAAATCTCAAACTCCAAAACTTCGGCCACAAACCGTCGGGCCGTATCTGCGAAGGTAACCAGCTTGCGACAGTCGTAAGTCAGGTGGTGACCGTCGCAAATTTCGTTAAATTTTTACGAATTTGATGGCTGTTTAAGACCCGCGTCCCAAATTGCGGGCCGCGAGGGTCAAGTGTTTAAAACTTGACGAAGTTGAGTGTCCAAGCTTTTGAAAGTCACGCACTTGCAATTTGGGACTTTCGAAGACAGATTCACTCACCAGGGGGAAAACCGAGGGTTGGCTGGGTCTCGCGAAAAAAACGAACCTAGACGAAATCGGAAACTCTCGTCAAAGCCCCACACCAGAAAAACTCCCTCTGGTCAACTTATAAAAGCATGAACAATTTGGGCCGCCGGCTTTAAAAAGTCGACACGAAAACGACGCCGAGTCGACTCCAAAACGGCCAAGTATTCGACACAGTGTGCGACAAACGCCTGTGACGTCGCACGGTATCGCCCAGTGACAGAATTTGTTTAGGGTTAAATGAGGAATATCGCCGTCAAAAGTGCGACCCCGTCGCACATACTAAACTACTGTAGTAACTGCAAATTTAACAACTTTTCCGAACCAGCCTGCAATCCGGCCACCAAAGTATTGCCAAAACTGTAAATTTTGGCTGTTAAAGAGTCGACTCTGATTCGGCCACCTCGTCGCTGTTCGCGAAAAATATGACGACCATTTGGTCGTCGAAAATTCGGCCGCACCCTATTTTCGGAATTGTGTAGCGATTTAACACGCCCTTAGTTTTGGTTTGGTTTGGGAAGAAAATTCAGCTGTGGAGAGAGGGAGTCGGGGGAAAGGGAGGAGCCGAGGCGGATGTGGAGAGCAGAGGGGCGGTGGATGGACAAACACGAGAGACGCGTTTCGGCGCGTTTCGCAGGAACGGACGGCTTCGATTGAAGCCTTCGGTGTGCTGGATGTGGGTGAGGGTCATAAATATTCGCGACCGCGCAAATTATTGAGGGTGGGGAAAACTGTGGGTGCAATAATGCGCGGCCACGGAGCGAAAACTTTTTCCTTGGTAAGGGCAGGTGGACCGCGAAGGCCGCTTGCTCTGCTTGAGATGCGGCTGGTTGCCGAAGCGCTCATGAGTCTGTCTGACGCCACCTGCGGCCAGACCACCACCACCCTTGTGGCGCAATTTCGTGTTGCTTAGCAAAGCGAGTCTCGTAGCGCCTTCGACTTGTTCCAAGTCTGACAAACAGTCGGTAACAAGGGAAAGGTCAATTACACCACGACGAATGGCTCCATCACATGCACTGGTCCCTAATGACGCAAGCAGGAAGTCATGTGACGTGGACAGTTGAAATCGCTATGGTGCGGTCCGGTCACCCAGGTAGTGCATTTCGCCAGTCGTAATGCTATAAATATGTATGGATAATGTTTCCGCTTGTCTTTTGTAGCACAAATCGTTACCCAAACGGGCGAATCTCGGTCTCCAGGCTCTGACATCGTCAATGCTGATCCGATCTGCTCGTTGCAAAACGCTAAACCTCGCTATACCCTGTCAGACCCTGGTAAAACCCTTCGCCCTGATTGTTCAATGCATCTCCCACCCAGCCCCAACCGAGTCTTTCTGAGGCACATTTCACGGGTTTATGGTCTGGGGGTTCCACTGCCGCCTCACAAAAACACCCAGACATCGACAGGAAATATTTAGTTTTGCCGAGCTTCGCAATTTGCGCCTCGGCTCCTCCTCGGTTGTTCCTCGGCTATTTGGCGAGGCGCTATCACCCATAGTCTCGTCTTGCTTCTGCTGTAGTCGCAGCGCGTTACCCCTCGATCTTGTAGACCTTATGGAGCAACCAGAGACGAAAGCCGAGGCTGTTCCTATGGACACGTCGGCTCCCGGAAATCAAGGGAATCCTGCTTCTCAACCCACTAACCCTCCGTCAGGATCGACGGCCGCCGCTGCAGCTGCTCCCGCAAAACCCGCCGCAGAAGGCGCTGCGACACCCGGTACCGCAGCTACATCTGCTCCCGCAGCTGTCCAAGTAGTGCCGCCTAAGGGCTACGTCCCATATGTTCTTAAATACACGCTTAACGGCCACAAGAAAGCTATTTCCAGCGTCAAGTTTTCGCCGGACGGAAAATGGTTAGCCAGCTCATCGGCCGACAAAACCGTCAGGATCTGGCACGCAGCTGACGGCCGGCCGTCAGACCCGCCGCTCGTGGCGCATACGGAGGGAATAAGCGACATCGCATGGTCTTCCGATTCACGTTACATCTGTTCCGCGTCGGACGATCATACGCTTCGCATATGGGACGTTACGGGAGGGCAGGCGGCTTCTAGCGGGGATGCTAATAGCGGAGCCGCTCCGACCACGCGACCGTGCGTGCAGATCCTAAAGGGGCATACTAACTACGTTTTTTGTTGTAACTTCAACCCGCAATCCAACCTCATAGTTTCCGGCGCGTTTGACGAGACGGTTCGGCTGTGGGACGTGAAAACGGGCAAGTGCGTGAAAGTTTTGCCTGCCCACTCGGACCCTGTAACGGCGGTTCATTTCAACCGCGACGGGTCGCTGGTGGTGTCGAGCTCGTACGACGGGCTTTGTCGTATCTGGGACACGCAGACGGGGCACTGCCTGAAAACCCTAATTGACGACGACAACCCTCCCGTGTCGTTCGTGAAATTCTCGCCCAACGGAAAGTTCATTCTCGCCGGCACACTCGATAACACTCTGGTGAGACTTCGCGCCGTCCCCCCCCCTCTTTCGCTTCGTCCCCCCATACCCCATCCGCCGTCCGCTTCTTTCGCCCATCCCTCTCCCCCCCCCTTCCCCTTCATTGTCCAGTCATGTTTTCCAACTCTGCACATATTCCTCTCCGCCTCCATCCTCCCCACCTCTCCCCATCCTTCCCCCTTCCTCCCCCTTACTCCTTTCCTCCTTCCGCCCTTTTTTCCTTCTCCCTTCCGCTCTCCTTGTGCCAGCGTCTGTGGAACTACGCAACTGGCAAGTGTCTCAAGACCTACACAGGCCACGTGAACAAGAAATACTGCATCTTCTCAACCTTCCCTCCCCTACCCCTTCCCGCTCCCCCTCTCCCGCTTCCCCTTTTCCTTTTTTCCCCCCTTCCGATTAACCAGCGTTTGTGGAATTATGCGACAGGCAAGTGTCTAAAGACCTACACAGGGCATGTGAACAAGAAATACTGCATCTTTTCAACCTTCTCGGTAACCAACGGGAAATACATAGTGAGTGGGTCAGAGGACAATAGCGTGTATCTGTGGGACCTACAAGCGCGTACAGTGGTGCAGAAGCTTTCAGGCCACACTGATATTGTTCTCACTGTGGCCTGTCATCCTAGCGAGAATATGATCGCATCTGGAGGGTTGGATCAAGATCGGACGGTCAGGATTTGGGTGCAGGAGAGCGCTGGGCCCGCGGCAGGAGGGAAAGGGTGAGGAGTGGGGATCGGTGGAGATGGGTTGAGGGAAGTGGTTGATTGGGTGGTTGTGGGTCTGGTTTTGGGGTACGGATGTGATTTGCTATGGTGCGGGATCAGGATGAAGGATGTTCGTAATTGTGAAAGTGAAATTGGAATTTTGAACGATTGTAGTTACATACACACACAGAGAGTGCGGGTTGAGTTTTACGGTACATGTTGGTTGGTTAGTGGGTTGACCCGGATATAAAACCCTAGGGTACAGTATATACCTGGTAGTAGGATAGACTGGGTTAGCATGAGACAGCAGGAAACATTGTGGTAGTGTGCATCACGTGTGACCCTCATTTTGGCACGTGGAAATGCTAACCTAACAGGATTGATTTATTAACCAAGTCATGTCCACTGTACTAGCTTCACCTCCCTTGTGATGGATCACCTTTCATTAATTCAATTCATCCCTCCTCTGATGCTGAGGAACCTCTCATCTGCTTCCTACCGGTACATGCCAGCACAACTCACTGCCAATACCCGGCACAAACCGAAGCGGATGCGCGCTAGCTCATGCAGGAACCCGAGGGCATTTTTCAAACCCAGTAATGTCCTCGTGTCCTCATGTACTCGTGCCCTCGTGTCCTCATGTCTGCATCGTACATTACCTCATCTGACTTGCCAATCAACCCTGCAATGGGTCAGCTCATAACTACCTCCTCACACTACAACTCAGCTCCTTACCAGCAAGATCCTTATCACAGTTCTAACCAGCTGCTTATCAGATTCTCTGGTCACGGTGCTCCTACCCCTCCTCCTCCTCAAACCCTTCCTCCATCTCAGCCGTGGCAGCAATCTCTGCTTCACCCCGCTCTTCCCTCAGAATCCTCGAAGTGATGGCTGGCTATCCGGTCGAAGTTATGCAGACCCACTGCCCGAACTTGGGAGAATAGGCCAGCTCTTGCAGGGCTGCACAAGTTCATCTCATCTACCGTTTCTCTAAGCACCCTTTCACCCCCCACCCCACAAACCCTACCTGTCTTCCTCTTCCTCAAACCCCTCCTCCATCTCAGCCGTGGCAGCAATCTCTGCTTCACCCCGCTCCTCCCTCAGTATCCTCGGAGTAATCGCTATCCTATCAAAGTTATGCAACACCCACTGCCCGAACCCGGGGGAATAAGCCAGCTCCTGCAGGGCCGCGTGGGTGCACTCATGGGAGATGGCTGCTGCCTGTGCCGGGGTGAGGTGGCGGCGGTGGGGTGTGCGGTGGAATGAGGAGGGGCAAACCGCGCGGGCGAGAGGGGAGGCGGGTAGAGGAGTGCGAGGTGTGCCTGTGAGGAGAGGGGAGGACACCAGAGGAGAGAAGGGGAAAGGAGCAGGGAAAAGCAAACAGATGAGAATCAACCAGGATTTTATGTCTTGACAGGCTGCAGGGCAGAGTGGGTGCACTGGTGTGAGATGGCTGCTTCCTGTGCCGGGGTGAGGTGGCGGCGGCGGGGCGTGCGGTGAAAGGAAGAGGGGCACACCGCACGGGCGTGCGGTGAAAGGAAGAGGGGCGCACCGCACGGGCGCACCGCACGGGCATACCGCACGGGCACACCGCACGGGCGAGACGGGAGGAGGGGAGGGGGGTGCGAGGTGTGCCTGTGGGGAGGAAGGGAGAGGAGGGAGAGGAGAGGACACGAGAGGAGAGAAGAGCAAGAGGAAGCGCGTGAGAGGGAAGAGGGTCAACTGGGAGAAGAGGAGAAGAGGGAGTCAGGGAGAAGAGGGAGTCAGGGAGAAGAGGGAGTCAGGGAGAAGAGGGACCTGGTGGTCGTACCTGGTGGCCTTTTTGTTCCCTATGTTTCGACCAAGAGACACACACAACATTGGGAACAAAAAGGACGTACCTGGTGGCCCCTGGAGGGCGTCTCCATGTGCACATAGGGCGGCCCATCAACCGCCCTCGCGTGTGTCACATGCCCCTGAGGGACCCATCAAATCGCACACAGGACGTTCCCGGTGGCCCCTGGAAAGGCGTTTCCATGCGCGTATAAGGCGACCCATCAGCCCCCCTCGCGGGTGTCACATACCCCTGCCCTCCCCCCACACTTCCCAATTTTGAGACGTCTCATAATGACATACCCGGTGGCCCCTGGAAAGGCGTCCCCATGCGCGTATAAGGCGACCCATCAACCGCCCTCGAGGGGGTCACATACCCCTGCCCTCCCCCTACTGCTCCCATCGGGCCCTGAGGGGGAGTGCCGAATTGCTGGGGGGGAGAGAACGCACCCCCCATATCTCCTTCCTGCTCTGCTGCTTGCTCTCCTTTCCGAACACAAGCACGGACCAGGAAGGAGGTGGTGGGGGTTGCAGAGGGGGTGCAGGTGGGGGAGAGGAGGGCGAGTGCGCGTGGGGAGAGAAGGTGCAGGAGGAGGGTGGCGGAGAGAGAGAGGAGGAGGAGAGACGTGGCAATGATTGCATCCGCTGAACTCTGCGGGGGTGCGAGTCGGACGAAGAGGGGGAACGGGAGAAGGTGAGGGAAGGGAATGGGGGTAGGAGGGTGGGGTTTAGGAATGAGACTGGAGAACGGAGGGTGGGGCTGTGGAACGAGTGTGGAGGAGCACAGGGGTGCAGAAACGATAACATAAGATGATAGCAGCGTTGCCACTGCTAGGAGAGAGTAGGTGACAGTGGGTGACAGTGGGTGACAATGGGTGACAGTAGGTGACAGTGGGTGACAGTAGGTGACAGTGGGTGACAGTAGGTGACAGTGGGTGACAGTAGGTGACAGTGGGTGACAGTAGGTGACAGTGGGTGACAGTAGGTGACAGTGGGTGACAGTAGGTGACAGTGGGTGACAGTAGGTGACAGTTGATGACAGTAGGTGACAGTTGGTGACAGTGGGTTACAGTGGGTGCCTTATCCAACCCCACAGGTACTACAGCAAGTATATTGCATATCTTGCCATGTACCATGACGAGCAAAGTGCATTTATCCAAGGTTCGCAACGTACCATTATAAGCAGAGTAGCTGCAATTATTCGGAGCCCCCACTTAACGAAGGACACTGTAGGGGGGTCCAGCTCGCCTGTGGGCGAGAGGATGAATTTCCGCACCACCCAGAAGCCCAGCGCTGCTCCTATAAGCACCACCAGTACAAGCACAAACACCACCACCTGAGGAATGGTTGGGGAAACACATGATGTAAAGAGGGATGGCAGAGAGCATAAGGTGAAACGGATTGGGCTTATCATGCATCACAAAAACGAAAACGGCATGGTTGACCAGGACAGAAACGGGCAGTGAGAAGAATGATTACCAAGAATCTGACATCATACACAGGGGAGAAGTGGCATCATTACAAGGGAATTGATGTAATCACAAGAGGGATGGCATGGTTACCGGAGAGATGACGTCATCACCCAGACCAAGAGGCTCCATGACAGTCTTGACGGCCCCTGTGACGTACGTTATGATCACCCCTATGAACCCCATCTGGTTGGGATGGTGGGGAGGAGAAGTGCGAAAGTGCATCAAAGGTGCATCATAGGTGCATCTAAAAGTGCATCAAAGGTGCATCTGAAAGTGCATGTGCTACGGCTGCATGCATAACAGTCTGGATGGCCCCTGTGACGTATGCTTAAAGAGTTGAGTCGACTAAAAAATCCTATGTTACTCAGACATGCATAGCCTCTTACTCATTCCGTAGACAGTGCACATGCCATGCAAGAAAAGGTACAAGCATAAGGAGCAAGCCACTATTTGAGTGCACTCAAACAAACATGCATGCCTGCCACCCCGTACGTACAAGGGAGCCATATAGGAGGATCTGAAGGCTGCTCTTGCGACCCAGGGGAAGCAACCGCATGACCTGAAGGGACGGGTGGTGGTATGGGGAATGGCATGGGTGGTGGCATGGGTGGTGGCATGATTAGTTCGCGATGGCAAACGATTGGGGGGTTTAGACAGAAACTTGTATGGGAGAGACATCTGGAACCGAACAAGCGAACATCATCATTCACTGCACACACCTGGTAGAGAATGACGATGACCACGAGAAGCACGCCCAGCGTCATGCCCCCTCCGTAGTAAAACGCTACCATAGAGCTCAGATGACCCGCCAGCAGCATGAGCAGGAACCCCAGGACAAAGAACACCGCCCGGTGAGGCTCCAAGTCTGATTAAACACAGAGAGGAGAGGGAAGTGAGGAAACTTAAATAAAAGAAGTTACAACACAACTGTGAGGCCGTTAGAGAATAGGAACCAAAAAAAAAAAAAAGAGGAGTCGGTGGCGGGCATACGATGACGGAGAGTTGAGTTGAATTGGCGGTTTCGATACCTTCCTCCCTCTCACCTTCGTCTACTTTAATGCTGACGTCATGGTCCCCAATGACCCCGCCCTCTCGTTTCACATCAATGAACGCGCCCTCGAAAGGTGACCGCAGCACCACCCACCGCCCCTTTCTGTCCACTGCTCGCCACGCCCCCCTTGGGCACTCCCCCAGGGGTTGCGAGGCATTCCTGGGGTGATGCAGAGGAGGGGAGCATCGGGAACGAGACGCAATTAGCACGGAGAAAAGGGGATCCTAGCACAAACGACCCACCCACATGCCCGCCCACCGCCCCTTTCTGTCCACTGCTCGCCACGCACCCCGCTGACCCTCACTCGCTCACCAGTGCACGCAGAACTCAAACTTGGGGCCGCTGGCAAAAGCGCCACGTGGCATGATCCCTGCAGGAATGGTGGCCGTGACTCTGAGCACGTGGAAGCCACGAGACACGCCCCTCAGGCGTGGCCGAGCCGGGAGGCGCGTGCGAGCGATGCAGACGGAAGCAGTGCCGTCCACTGATGGTACTGGGTCTGAAACATCCACACTGTTCACGCCCAGATGGAGCTCTGAAAAGGGGTTGGGTGGAGGAGGGGAGGGAAGCAAGGTGTGCTGTGAAGGTGGGGGCACGGCACCGTCCTCTGATGCTACTGGGTGTGAACCCTCCACGCTGTTGACGCCCAGATGAAGCTCTGATGAAAGTTGGGTGGGGAAAAGAGATGAATGTGTGGTGAGCTGTGAAGGTGTTACGAGATACGTCGCCTGCTGCTAGTGGGTCTGAAACCTCCACACTCTATAATATGCCAGCTTTTGAGTCGAATCACTCAGAGAATGAGTTTCAAGAGGTTTCAGTCGACACACCTCGTGGAGTATAGCCGTTGGAGGCTCCTCGTTCCGTGTGGAAATCGCTGAACGCGTAGCTGCCGCCTGTGGGATTCTCGAATGCACTGACTGGCGAAGTTCCCGAGGCCAGGAGCGCCAGCAGGAAAACAGAACACGCCATCCCGATATAACGAAGCTTAACCGACGTGCAACGGATACTGACGCGGATTCTACGAATTTCGAGAGCCATGAGCGATGGCCGGGCACAGCAACCCTGGTCTAGAGTTAGCACACAGTTAATAGCTACCTCGTTAATAGTCCAGTCCTTGTCAGTCAAGGACACCCTTAGCTACGATTTGAGTTCAACCGTTTTAGAGTGACTGCTTAGAGGCGGACTTCTGGTCTACTGCAATCGGGTAGCGCCTAACTATTAACCTAAATTTCTTGACAATGAGGCTGATCAGGCAAGTTCCGGTCCCTCTTGGTCCTCAACTTAGTCGTCAGCTGACTTATTAGTCTAACAAGTTCCGGCCTCCCTTAGTTGTTCAGGCACGTTGGTGACTCTATGACGCACCTTCCAGGGCACAGAAGACGAGAATGCTCTGATATCCATCATAGTATGCTCACTAACACTCAGATTAATCGGAACAGAACACTCCGAAACTCAGATTAATCGGAACACTCATCACCTGCAGCTTTCGTCCTCGACAACCAGCGGAAAACATGCAGGAATTTCAGGAGCCAATTGCTATCGAATATATTCGCACGCGCGTCGCGACCGAGGTCAACGTCGCAACTATCACCAGCCTAATTGCCAATCCTGAGCGTACAACTAAGGACGAATCGCGATAGCGACCTGATCAGAAAAGCTCGGAAAAGCTGATCAGGGAGATTCATAAACCTGAAGGCCAATTCCATGCGAGGGAGGGAGTTTTGGCGGGAAACGCCTCGAATCAGACGGAAAGATGGAGCGAGGCGACTCGCTTCTAGTTGATCCGCTAAGAACATTGAAATGGATATTCTTCAAACAAGGAACCGACGTTAATGCTTAAAACTATTATTCCCAGATCCATACGGCATATCCCTCCCCACATGTAATCAAGTTCCACTTCCTCGACCAGGAATCACTTGTTCTATCACTCCCTATCCCTCCACCCTCACTCACATGACAACAATCACCTGACTTCAAAGCCCCTTCTATTTCATTGCAATCAGGGCTCCACTCTCCATCTCCAATCTTCACACACAGATTCCCCCCGATGATGGCGGCATATCTGCTGTCATCTGCTGCCAGTATCCGGATGGAAGAACGGCTATGTATGCCTGCCCTTCGCCGAGCATCAATCTGCCATCGATGCAACAGCGCAAAAGTAAATGCTCGCCGTAGTAAACCTTAAGGTAACAGTATGCACAGCATGTACGAACAACAGGCAACATCCACCCAAAAGTTCCAACAAGGCGATGCAGAAGCAACCCTATTCAATCTCACCAGCTGCTGAATTTGGATCTTGAGATCCACGCCCCAGTCAAAGAAATGGTCATAAAACACTGATGGGATGCCCGGATGTGTGAGGACGTAGGCATAGCCCTGTGGGGAGTGGAGGGCGAAGTGGGGAGAAAGGTGCAATGTATAGCTGAGAAAGGAATGGTGCTCTTGAAGGGGCCATAGTTGAGACATTAGGGAGGAAACGAGAGAATGGGATCAAATTGGAAGAGACCAGCAACATGTCAACAGGGAAGCTGGCTTCCCTGGGAAGTAAAAAAAAAAAAAAAAAGAACAGGCGAATGTTTGTGTGTGTGTGCCTGTGTGTGTGTGTGTGTGTGTGTGTGTGTGTGTGTGTGTGTGTGTGTGTGTGTGTGTGTGGACGAGAATGAGAGAAAAACGTGGGAAGAGGGCAGTTGACTTGCCTGGATGACAGCATGAGAGGGGAAGGGCCAGTGAGCCTGCACGGCACAGTCACAGGCACACACACAGGGCGAGAGGGACACACAGGGTAAGAGGGACTGTTACAAATCATAGATAGGAGGAGAGGAGGTGAAACGTTACAACTCAACAAACCAAGACAAGTCTCCATCAGCAAGTGCACCGTGCACGGACTTCAGATACACCATGCTGGAACCATCAATACGTTGGATTCTCCTGAATGTCTGTGACATTCACCTGGATATCAGTTGCATTTACCTGAGTGGAGCCGGTGTCATGGTTGTCGACAAATGTGACGGCATGAGAGGGCAGCAGACCCATCACGCCTGGCGGGCGGCCTTCCTTGTCCTTCAGCCGCCACCACTCCTTCCTTTTCACTGCCTCCTGCAGAGGGGTGGGAGGCGCAGGGAGAGGCAGAATCACGACACATGCAGAGAGGCAGAATCACGACACATGCAGAGAGGCAGAATCACGACACATGCAGAGAGGCAGAGGCAGGGGCACGGGCAGTGGCACGTGCATGAGAGGTGCAGAGAGAGAGAGGCAGGGGCATGCAGAATGGTCTGGGTGGCGAAGTCCGAGAGGATGCAGCTAGCGAGCACTCACGTTCCCCCTCAAGCCTGCTCAGTACAAGGGTATGTCCCCCTCTCACTCACTCATTCACTCATTCACTCACTCACTCACTCACTAACTCGCCTCCTCTCCGCAGAACCCGTCAACCAATCACCTGCAGAACCGCTTTTGTGGTAAAGTCGAAGGCTGCTGCCAGCCTGCCCGCCCCTTCAATCCACTCCACTATGCGCCCCCGATGCGAGTCTGGCTGCACAGCAGCCGGGTGGAGGTGAACATGGGGGGAGGTAAATACCCGGGGAAGGGATATCCAGGAAGGTGATGTTTGAGGGAGGTGATATTAGAAAAAGGTGATATCCAGGGGAGGCGTTGCACGGTTCAAGAATGCGTACTGTTGAAAGTATCACCATTGGGTACGCTTTCACTTGTATACCCTACAACAGGGTATCTCCAAAGAATGCCCTAATACTGTCACTTCAACCTCTCGCCCACAACGGTTGTAGTCAAGGTATTATATTATATGGGTCCAACACCAATGCAGGTTCTCCCGTCAGCCACACACTGACATGCCCACACTACCAGTCTCGCAATCGCCAAAAGGAGACGATTCTTGGGACATGCTCACACACTCACACGCGCACACACTTACACACTCACACACTCTCCCACTCTCACCCTCTCACCCACCCTGGTCGTAGTCAAGGTCGTATTGTGGGCCGATGTAATTGCAGGTGTCCCAGTACTCGCCCACACACAAGCGCAGGCGTGCCCCCCGCACATACCCCCGCACATAGGCCGCGCTGTACCCCTTGCCATAGTCAAAGCGGAACCCTGAGAACCCCACATCGGCCTGCGGGCATGAGGCATGGGACATGGGAGGGCATGGTGCATGGGGCACGGGGCATGGCATGGGGCACGGGGCATGGCATGGGGGCATGGCATAGGGCATGGGGCATGGCATGGGGCACGGGGCATGGCATGGGGCATGGGGCATGGCATGGGGCATGGGGCATGGCATGGGGCACGGGGCATGGGAGCAGAGGGAAACAGTAGAGGCACAGATTGGTGAAGCCACGCACCTAAGCCATGCCATCAAGTCTGACCTGGAGCCACGTCAGCCATGCCACAAATCTCACCTGGAGCCACGTCAGCCATGCCACATGTCTCACCTGGAGCCACGTCAGCCATGCTGTGAGATCTCGGCGCACGAACGGTTGAGAGTGGTCGATGTTGGATACCCCCTCAAACACACTGCCACTGCTGGGGTTGCCCTGCCGAGGGGAAATGGGTGGAGGTTGACAGGGAAAAGTCCCAAGCGGTTGAGAGTGGCTGATATGGATTGGATACCCCCTCAAACACACTGCCTCTGCTGGGGTTGCCCAGCCGAGAGGACGAAGGGAGGGAAAGGACAAAGGGCAAAAGCGTTTTTAAGGGAAGAGGAGGGTGAAGGAGCAGAACACACCCCTCTGGAGCAGGGACGGATGTGTTCTGGATGTGGCAGAACCTTTCACCTTCCCACATCCCACCTCGCCCTCAATGTCACAGGTGACAGGCTCCCGTCCCACAGCATGGACGTGCCATTGGAAGAACCCCACAGCCTGCCCTTCCCCTGTCAACTGCGCGCACCACATCTGCCACTTCCACCTCACCATACCCAGCCTTAACTCGGCTCACCGCGCCTCACCGCACTTCACCTCGCCCCGTCTCACCTTGCCGCCAATGTCACAGGTGACAGCAGTCTCGTGCCATGGCATGGAGGTGCCGTCAAAGCGAGTCCACTGCCCGCCCTCCCCCAGTCAACTCCATGCACCACATCTGCCACTTCCACCTCACATTACCCCACCGCACCTCACCTCTTCCAACCGCTCCTCACCCACTTCACCTCACGTCACCACTTCTCACCTTGCCGCCAGAGTCACAGGTGACAGCACTCTCGTCCCATGGCATGGAGGTGCCGTCAAAGCGAGTCCACTGCCCGCCCTCCCCCAGCTGGCTTCCCACCCGGTGGTTTACCACAACGTCTGCTATCACCCTCACGCCCCCTGCGCTCCCAGCACCACCAGTGGCAGCACCATCAGCGGCAGCACATCCCATGGCAGAGCTATCAGTAGTGGTACCAGGTGCACAATCAGCTGCTTGATCCAACCCACTGTCCGGATTCATGTCAGTCACCGCTGCACCACCCGCAGCAGGGGCTGAAGGGGACGAAGCAGCAGCAACAGTAGCAGAATCATCCCCAGCAGCAGGAGTAGCAGCAGCACCATTAGCAGCAGACGTTGAGGGTACTCCAGAGTGGGGCTGGGCGGCCCTGAACGCAGCAATGAGAGCACGGAGATCTGCCTCTGAGCCGTATGCTGATGATAGGTGGTAGAGGTCCTTAGGCAGGTAGCCTGTTGGGGGGAGAAAGGGGAGGGAAGAGAGCGAGTGGGGGAGGGCAAGAGGGATAATGAAGAATGACTCGGAGCCGTATGCTGATGCCAGGTGGTAGAGGTCCTTGGGCGGGTAGCCTGGGAGTGGGGAGAGAGGGGAGGTGAGGCAGAGAGAGGGGTTGAGGGTACCGCAGTGCTGGGCTGGGCGGCCCTGAGAGCAGCAAAGAGGGTGCGGAGATCTGCCTCGGAGGCGTATGCTGATGATAGGTGGTAGAGGTCCTTGGGCAGGTAGCCTGGGGGGAGAGAGAGTGAGAAAATGAGAAGTATAGGAGGACAAAAGAGTGGGGAACAATTGAGAATGGTGTGGAGTGAGCAGGGTTTGACTCCAGCTCTCAGAAGAATCAGTCGTGTGCTTACCTTGAGGGGCGAGAGAGGAAGTGGCGGGGGCCAGCCAGACAGCCGTAAAGCCAGCAGCAGCAATGGCGGGCGCGAGGGAGGCCAGGTGCCGCCACCAGCTCTGGTGGTGGCCGCAATTCAAAGAGGCAGGGGGCTTACCTTGAGGGGCGAGAGAGGAAGCGGCGGGGGGTTTACCTTGTGGGGCAAGGGACGAAGAGGCGGGGGGTAGCCAGACAGCCGTGAAGCCAGCAGCAGCAATGGCAGGCCCGAGGGAGGCTAGGTGCCGCCACCAGCCCTGGGGTTGACCGTGTGACTCCCAGTTAAAGCCCTGGTGTAAGGGAAGGGGAAAAGGGAGGAGTGAAACGTGAAACTTGGGAAAGTACTAGAGCACGTGAGTACATGAAACTTGGGAAAGTACTAAAGCACATGAGTACATGAAACTTGGGAAAGTACTAAAGCACATGAGTACATGAAACTTGGGAAAGTACTAAAGCACATGAGTACATGAAACATGGGAAACTAATAGAGGAGGCGAGTGCATGGATACCTATAAAACGTTAACGCTCTGAACTGTTGTATGCGTACACCGTTATACCAACAAACCCTCATTTACCAAAGAAGTTCAACATTTTCGTTACCTGCAGCACGATCTGGTTGCTCCAATCGCTAATGGCTTGAGCTGTCGAGGCAAGGGGAGACAAAAGGGCGGCAGAAACAGGAACTTATGAATAATTCAAAGAAACAGGAAACGAAGTCGTTGGTGGATGATAGGGACGCGAAGGACATGCTGGAAATCGCCCTGTCACTGTCACCCACCTCATCATCCACACAAACGAAACGGGAAAGACATGGATCGAGGGAATGACGAAGAAATCTGCAACTCCGAGAACGTCTATTGCGGCGTGCAACCCTGAAAAACATGGAGTGAACAACGTGGAATCTGGAAGCATCTAGGTCGCAAGTTGGCAGCAGGTATCATGGAGACTGCAAAAATCTGAATACATTACTTTGCCTCGTCAGAATTCGGAATCACATGGATCTGGAGCGGTAGCCACCTATCTTCATGTATTCTCGGTTACCTTGCAGCAACTTGAGGAGTTTACCTTCATCCGAGTCCCCTGGCAGGTCTCTCGTATCCCTCCCCCATCCTTAGAGAATTCTCAAATGTGACACATGCATGTCCCTTCCGTTACCTTGCAGTAACTTGAGCAGTTCATCTTCTTCCAAGTCCCCTGGCAGGTCTCCCTTATCTCTCCCCTCACCCTTCCCCTCATCCCCTTCCTCATCCCCATCACCACTACCTCTCCGCCTCATATCCTCACGCCCATCCACTGCATCTTTACCCTCTTCTCTCCAAACCCCACTCTCGCCTCGTCCCTCCGCCCATCCGCTCCTTTCCCCTTCCCCCTGTCGTCCCCCCACCTGCTCCCTGCTCTCTGCCCCTCCAGCCACAGCTGGGCCAAGCCACTCTCTCTCACTCCTTTCGCTCCCGTCGGTTTGAATCCCCTCCATCTCCTCAGCACTACCTTCTGTGCCTAGCTCATCGCTCCCCCTTCCAGTTAAACCCTCCAGTTCATTCTCGCTCCCAGCGGTCTCCCCACCACTCCCCCCAACTGGCTCCCCTACTCTCTCCACACCAGCTGTAAGAGTTTCCGGGCCTTCCTTCGTCTTCCCTGATCTCGCTTCCACCCTCCCTCCGTCAGGTTCCTTGAACGTCAAGGAACGAATGTAATCTACCGTGCCCTCTGCTATCCCCCCATTCCCTGCAGCAACATCCCTTGCACCACCCCGAGCAACCCCCCCTGCAAAACCTCTTGCCGCATCTCCCGCCATCCCCTCTCTCCCCCGTAATCTGCCTTGTTGTGTGTCTGCACGCTTCCCTGCACGCTCGCCTGCCTCCTCTGCACGCTTCCCTGTACGATCGCCTGCCTCCTCTGCACGCTTCCCTGTACGCTCGCCTTTCTCCTCTGCACGCTCCTCATCACGCCCTTCTGCACGCCCCTCGGCACGCTTCCCTGCACGCTCAAGTGATTTTTGAGGCGCCTCAAACATCTCCTCACTCCCCCGTAATCTGCCTTCTTGTGTGTCTGCACGCTTCCCTGCACGCTTCCCTGTACGCTCGCCTTTCTCCTCTGCACGCTCCTCATCACGCCCTTCTGCACGCCCCTCAGCACGCTTCCCTGCACGCTCAAGTGATTTTTGAGGCGCCTCAAACATCTCCTCACTCCCCCGTAATCTGCCTTCTTGTGTGTCTGCACGCTTCCCTGCACGCTTCCCTGTACGCTCGCCTTTCTCCTCTGCACGTTCCTCCTCATCACGCCCTTCTGCACGCCCCACGGCACGCTTCCCTGCACGCTCAAGTGCTGTCTGGGCGAACCGAGAGTGCAGCAGCATGAGAGCAGCGGCGCAAGCAGCAGCAGCAGAAGCGGCCACAGCAAGGGTCAGCTGTGCGGGAGGTGGGCGATTGAGGCCACTGCTGCTGCTGCTGGGGGAGGAGACTGAGGATGGGAGGGAGGGGTGGAATGGAGAGGCACGGAGGGAGCGTTGAAGACAGGATGGTAAGAATTGACAAAGAGAACGAACAGAAGCGTGAACCAGGGTTCAATGAGCAACTGAAGTGGGGGGAATGAGCAAATGTGAAAAGGGAGTACCGTTAGGAGATCCAACAGAAAAGATCCAATCATGCTGCTTCCGAGGCATGGACCGGCTGACTGCGTATCGGTCGGCAGCAGGCTGCTTCTCGTCCCGCTCGCCCTCCTTGCCCTCCCTGCCTTCTTCGTCCTTCTCGTCCCTCACTTCTTCCTCCTCCTCTCCCTCTAGCTTCTCTTCCGAAGCGGTCAGCTGTTTAAATTCCTCGTTTCTTCCTCCTGCTCGTGCGCTCCTTTCCCAAGACTTCCGAAGGAGATTCCTGTGCGCAGAACAGCGAAAAAGAAGAGGGGAAGAGTGCAAAGGGATAAGCGCAATTGTCACGGGTTGATTGTGAAGGGATGAATGTCAAGGAACGAATGCCGAGCGATGAATGTTGAGTGCGTCACAGGTATACCAACAGAGTGTGATTCGGAACGAGACATAATTGTTGGAGTAAAACCTTTCAACAGGAAACGTTGCAACTTGTCTTGCCATCACCTGCATGGACATACGGAATGAACGATTACATACTTTCGCGAAGCTCGTCTGGTCCTTCCAGATTCGCTTCTCGCCTTGATGTCTTCGCCGAGCTGGTTACTACCACTCGAAGTGTCGCCTTTCTGTCGCTTACGTCGCTCAAGCGAGTTCGCGAAAACTACTACGCGCCAGGAGGATCTGGTTACCCCATCGCCGTCTACACGTGGAGGCTGTCTGCCGGCGCCGGCAAGTAAGAAAGACTGTCCAGTATAGACGAACTTCGCGCCGTCAGCTCGTTGACTGTTAAGCCAATGGCGAGAACTGTGCTTTTTCGGAAGGGACCGAACGTGAGCTGAGCACGGTCGCCATGACATTGTGGCTGATGCATTTTCTGATGGTGACTGCAGAGACTCGTCTTCAATGACCGCAATTCATTCAGCCATGCCACTCAAATTCACTGAACAAAGCGGTTCTTTTCCACTTTAGAGCGCTTGGATAGGTCTAGGAAGGATGTTGAACTGCTAAAGCAAGGTAAGGGGAAAATTCTGGAAGTTATAGGTTTGCTTGGCGGGCACTGGATTGCCAAATTCTGGAGTGGAAATCCGCGTTCAGCGATAAATTCTTTTCATAGTAAATGTTCTTGGGGAATGTGTCAGTGCTTTGTACACATTACAGCGTTACTGAGAATATGAACTGGCGAGCCAATCAATGAGCTCGCCAATTATTTTGGCGCCAAGTTTGACCAGAAACACGAAAACCTCACGGTCGCAAGAGGACCAACGCAACGGCTACTGTCCCTCCGATCTGACAACAACTTCGTTTATAATCACACCCCATAAACTAGCTCCAGACTTCCAGAATCCAACTTTCTCAACCACTCCATCAGAATCTTCCAGCAGTAATCTAGGCACTAGGACGGACACATTCTGTCAAACCTAAATTTTAGTTCGCAAGCATAATTTTGCAGAGCAGATCCTACTCATCCTTTCACTACAGTTTTCGAAAACAGTGACTCGCCTGCCAGTTCTTCCCTGTCATCTCTGCTGAGGAGGATTTATTTTGAGCACACCTCGTCATGGCGGGCCCAGGAGAGGTAATGTCAGCCGTTCTTTCCGTGTTTGTCTTCAGAATTCGGCAATAAACAAGTGCGGTGGACGTGATCTTATGTAAACACTGGTGAAACGTGGACTCTCTTGGGATATTGAACCCAGTCATTGACTTTTTGCTAATGGATCTCGCCGTACATCTTAAAATTTTCTCATGCAACAGCCTCGAAATGAGCTGGTTGCCTTATTTCCTTGGTCAGGTGCCATCTCCACCTCCCTGATCCTGATTCTCCGCATTCTACCATCGACCTGAAATCCTTTCTCAAATTTCGCCTTTTATCTCCGTTTCCCCAGGGACAGACGGTCCTTCAGGCTCAACCCCACGCTCCTGGTCGTCCTAGTGGTAGTGGCTTGTTTTATTTCGATTTCTTTTTAAAAGTGCATCTCTTATTTTCCTTTTTCCTACAGGGTCAAACGCCACCTGATTCAGGCTTCAACCCCACGCTGCTAGTCATCCTGGTCGTGGTGGGCTTCTTCGTTCTCTTCCTCGTCGGCCACGCTGCCATGTACTTCTACGCACAGAGCGTTCTGCCACCCAAGAAGAAGAAACCCGTCTCACAGAGGAAGCTGAAGCGGGAACGCCTCAAGCAGGGGGTCTCAATCCCTGGTGAATGAAGCGGGAAAGTCGTTCACAATTGTTATACGTAGCTCATTATACTGTAGCATTGTCTTATGACGTGGAAACATATCGTTTTACCAGCTCCAACAGTTCTTTGTCCAGCAAAACCCCACACCCTGAAAGCGCTGAACTTTCCCTTACAACTCATGGACTACACAAATGAAGCCTGTAAAACAAAACTACCCTGCTAACCTACACAAAGCTGGGCTACTCCAACCAGTAGGTACTCAATGTCCCTTACTCGCCCCCAACGTGTAAGAAAATGATGTCCGTATGCCTGGACTAGGGCGAGTGGTACTAGCAGTTGACCCTAAAGGGCTGGTGTATGGGCTGTTACTGGAAGCGCTGCTGAAGCTGCCTTGATTGGCCACGGCAGTGCCGCTGGCAGTGGCAGTCGCGCCAAGGTTGCTCAAGCTTCGCCTTGCTGCCCTCCTGTTGTTGCTGACCAGCCGCTGAACAGTGTCCACCAGCAAGCTGTGCAAGACGGAAGCAGAGACAAGCACCGAGAGCCAGGGTCACAGGGAGATGACTTTTTAGGCGCTTGAACAACGAGCAAGCTGTGCAAGTTAGGAGCACAGCCACAGATGGAAAATGCATGAAGCTGTTAACATGGATGCTATGCATGACCTTCCCCTTTGTACGCACCGTATGTTGATTGGCTTTGTGAGGTACCCATCCATTCCTGCCTGCCTGCACTTGGCCTCGTCACTGCGTGCCAGACAAGGGGCAAAAGAAAGGTTGGCAAAGAGAGGTTGGCAAGAGAGGGAGAGGCAAAACGAGATGATACATGGAACTCCCTCCCCCACCCGGCGAGTGCATGAGCAGTGAGCGTACAGATGACAGTGTGCAATGCAAAGCAGTGCGAAGTGGTGCAGAGGATTTTGCAGAGCAACTGCCATTCCCTCACCTGGCGAGTGCATGAGCAGTGAGTGCACAGATGACAGTGTGGCGCCCCGTGCCCCTCTCTGCGGCACGAATGGTCCTCGTGGCCGTATACCCATCCATCACTGGCATCTGCATGGGCGGACAGGCAAAGGGAGAGGCATCTTGATGCGTGTGCTGAATCGGTGTGATGAGGTGCGATGACGAGCACTAGGAAAACGCCAAGTACCTGGCAGTCCATGAGCACAATGTCGAAGGGATCCGCTGCTGCTGCTGCTGCTGCATCCCCTACTCCACCCATCCCACTGCCCTTGCACCCATCCACCCCAGCTGTAGCCACCACATCACTGCCACAATTCGCTGCTGCAGATGACGCTGCTACAACTGACGCTGCAACAGCCGATGCTGCTACAGCTGTCCCTGCTGGGTCAAACGGGTTGGAAAAGGACGACCTGGGTCTCTCCTCTCCCCTCTCTGCGAGCTGTGACTCAATGGCCTCAGAGCTCCGACCCTGCTGCACACCTGCTGCCTCCCACCCTTCCCCAAAACCACCTCCTCCCCCGCCTCCTGCTTCAGCTTCTTCAGCTGCTGCCGCTGCAGCTGCTCCCCCTCCTCCCCCTCTCAATGCTGTTCCCACGGGAGGGCTTGACGAGAGAGATGAGGCCAGAGGGCTGGAAGAGAGGGGGGAGGCGGAGGGGAGGGCAGAGAGGAGGAAGGAGACAGAGCCACTGCTGCCCCGGCGAGGCTTCCAGCGAAAAGGACCTGCGGAGGGCGAGAGTGAGGCAGAATGAACAACAGCGACAGAGGGAGAGGCAGTGGCAGAGTGAAGGGCAGTGGCAGCAGAGGAAAAGAGAGACTGGACAGTGCTGGTAGGGGTGCGGGGGCTGCTTGCTTTGCCTGCGTTTCCCGCACTGCCTGTATGGGTTGTCCCTGCGGTGCTGTGTGGTGCAGCTGAGGTCCCTGGGGTGCTTGAGTTGAGAGAGTTGCCTGACCGGGGCGCTGGGCTGCTGCTGCGCTCCCTCTCTAGCTTCCCTTCCCTCTCAAGCTTCCCTTGCTGCCCTGCTGCTGCTGCTGCTGCTACAGTTGATTCTGCTGCTGTTGCTGCGGATGAGCCGGCCAGAATCGCTTCTCTCGACATGCTGAAACTCTTCCTCCTCCTGCTGCCACTGCCACTAATGGTAGCATTACCAGCACCACTACCACCGCCACCACCAGCATCACCCGCACCACCAGCACCACCAGAACCACCACCAGCCGCAACAGCAGCAGCAGCAGCACCAGAAGTCTCATCGTCATCCCCCCACGAGCTCAGCACGGCAGCAACAGCCTGCTGCCCATCCGAAGCCACAGCCACATGGGCTCCCATTTTCCTAAGCATGGACGCTGCCAGCTTCTGCAGCACTGCTGTGTCCTCCACCACCAGGATATGCAGCCCTGCCAGCGGCTGGCCTGTCGGCATCGCCCCTCCCCCTGCCGCTCCTCCTCCTCCTGCTCCTCCTGCTGCTCCCCCTGCTGCTGCTGCGGCTCCTCCTGCTGCTGCTCCTGCTGCTGTGGGTCTACCAGTGGTGTCTCTCCCAGGGGTGTGGGCCCCTGTCATGCCTCGCCTCGCCTTGCTCTGCGGCACTTCAAAGCTGGGCCGCGCTCGCCAGGCAGGGGCGTCAGCGTCAAAGCTTGGCCGAGCTGCTGTGGGAGGGGTGGTGGGGGTGGACGGGCCCACGCTGCCAGGGAGGGAGGAGGAGGATAGGGCAGGCGTGGGAGGAGTGAGTCCCGAAGCAGATCCCGAAGCAGAAGCAGAAGCAGAGGCAGCTGTGGAAGCGAATGGACCAGACAATCTTTGAGCCCGCCGCTGCTTCTGCCGACTCCCTTCCCGCGACCTCCTTCCCGGTGTGACCGCCGGGGACTGGTGATTCGATCCCACGCTTCCCTCTCGTGAATGCTGCGGCGACTTGTGAGTCGACTGCCTGCTTTCCTCTCTTGAACTCCTTCCAGGGGTGATGGCTCGCCTGCCATTGCTGCTGCTGCTGTCACCGAATTTGGAAATTCTGGCCGTTCCTGTTGGTGCTGCTGTTGCTGTTGCTGTTGCTGTTGCTGCTGCTACCGTTGCCTCGTAGTCTGATGAGGAGTTGCTGCGGAAGAGGCCTGATAGGCCAGAGAGGCGGTTCGTGAGGGAGTGAGTGAGGGAGTGAGTGAGGGAGTGAGAGAGGGAGTGAGAGAGGGAGTGAGAGAGGGAGTGATTGAGAGAGTTTGTTGGGCTGCGAGCCTTGGACTGTGTTCTAGTCGGGCGAGGCTGACCCTCCCCACGTCCCTCTCCCCTTCCGTCCCCCCCTCTTTCTCCCCCTCTCTCCCCGCATCCCTCTCCCCCACCCTCCCTTTCTCTCTCTCCTCCGCCCTCCCCTCCTCTCCCTCCCACTCCCTCTGCCCCTCCCGCGACACTCCTCCTCTCACTACCACTCCACACCGAGCTCAACACCTCTGCAATAGAGCCAAACGGCAACAGCGCTCCTGCTAGCGGACTAGGGGTGTTTGGCTGGCTACCATGGCCGCTAAAAGCTGACATTCGCGCTGCTGCTGCACCTACTGCTGCTGCTGCTGTACCTGCTGCTCCTCCTCCTCCTGCTGCTCCCCCTGTTGCTGCTCCAACTGTGGCAGTTGCTGTATCCGGTTGAGCTTCTGTGTCACCTCCCCACTCACCCTTTTGAGTCGACTCAAAAGCTTCTGTGTCACCTCCCCACTCACCCTTCTCCCCACTGTCCGTTCTTGCACCAATCCTCTCCACCCCGCTCCCTCCCATTCCTCGCCTAGAAAACCCCCTTGGGTTGTCACTGCAGCAAGGGCTCGTGGAAGGGCGTTGGGGGACGGTGTAGGAGAGAGAGGGGAACGGCTCAGGTTGATTCTGGGCGTGGGAAGTTGATTCGATGGAGAGGTGTGACGAGTGGTGCTGCAGGGTGTTGGGTGTAGCGGATGTGGTGCGCAGGAGAGATGAAGAGTGCTGCCAAGGGAGCTGATGGGTGGTTGGTGATTGTGGCACCTGCTGCTGCTCTTGCTGCTGCTCTTGCTGCTGCTGTTGCTGCGCTTGTAGCTCCCTCTTCTTCTGCTCCCCCTCCTTTTGCTGCTGCGTCTGCTGCACTCTATGGCCAGCTGGCAGCTCCAGGTGCTTCGTCAGGTCAGCATCAACCTCCCTCCACTCATCTGAACTCAATCTAGGTTCACTAAGAACCGCTACAAAGTCTCTCCTCTCAGACCCTCCGAGCAAGTTTCCTTCCTCAGAGCCACTGGGCGAGTCTCTCCCTTGAGAGAAATCAAGCAACTCTCTCCCCACATACCCTCTCCCTTCAGAACCACCATTCAACTCTGGTCCCCCAGAACCTTCAGGCACTTGTACAGACAGCCCCCTCAGAAGCCCAAACTCCAACGCTGATCCTGTCCTAGGAATTTTCCCTCCCGTGCCGTGCCCATCCTGCTGGGTTGTCTCTGACGCAGCGGGCACTCTTGACCGGCCTGCTTCCACGCTAGCAGCAATGCCAGCGGCAGTGCCAGCAGCAATGTGAGCAGCACAAGCAGCTCCTCCTGTCCCCTCTGCTTCCACCACTCCCCCAGCTGCTAATGCGCCCTCTGCTTCTCCACCTCCTTCCTTCACTTCTCTTGACTGCATGCCTGGCTGCATACTCGTTCGTACAACTGGTTCTGCCTCAAGGCCAGAAAAACAGAGTGGCAGAGTGGTGTACCTGGCAGAGTGGTGGTTGTGAGGCGCCTCAAGAAAAACAGACGCCCCACTTGTCCCATCCACCCCACTCGCCCCACTACCACAGTATCTAGCAGAGTGGTGTTTGTGAGGCGCCTCAAGCACAGATGCCTCACTAGCAGTGTACCTGGCAGAAGGGTATTTCTGAGGCTCGTCAAGGGCAGACGCCCCACCAGTCACCTCACTAGCAGCGTACCTGGCAGAATGGTGTTTCTGAGGCGCGTCAAGAGCAACCATTCCACTCGTTCCATTCGCCCCAGCCACAGAGTACCTGGCTGAATGGTGCTGGAGCGACCTTCTGGGCATGGGAACCACACGAGGGGCGTCTAGAGGGGCTGAGCTTGTGCGAGGCATGCTCCTGGCAATCAGGCCAACATTGGGCATCCCTTTGTTGGACGCATCGAGAGAAGCAGAGGTGGTGCGAGCCATGCTTTCGGGTGCATCAGGGGCGTTGGAGCTGGTGCGGGCCGTGCCTTTGCTGGGAGCGTCAAGAGAAACAGAGCTGGTGTGAGACATGCCTTTGGATGCGTCTAGAAGAGCGGATTTGGAGCTGGAATTGGTACGGGCCATTCTGTGAAAGCCTCGCAGGTAGCCTGCTGCGTGCGAGTGAGGCGAGGACACAAAAGCGGGTGGAGCTGCTGCTGCTGCTGCTGAGCTTTCCGCTGCTAGTCCCGGCCTGAGAGAGCTTGCTGCTGCTTGCTGGGAGGAGAAGGAGGAGTGGTTGGAGTGGGTGGGATGGTTGCTGGTGGAGTAGAGTACGGTGCTGCCTTTGAGGAATGCTGGTGGCTGTGAGAATGTTGACTCTGTGTTCTCTGCCCCTCTCCTGTGGTAAGCCACTGGCTGGGAGTGAGGCGACGGGGCTTGGGTTGGTGATATGGCTAGGGCAGGTGACGTGGCATGAGCAGGTGACGTGGCATGGGCAGGTGACGAGGCATGGGCAGGTGACATGGCGTGGGCACTAGTAGAGTAAGGCGAAGGAGCATGCAGATTACCAGTGGAACCACCCAGCCCCATCCCCATGCCCATGCCCATGCCCATGCCCATGCCCATGCCCATGCCCATGCTGCTCTCATGCATTCCTAATCCACTGGCACTACCAGCGCTTCCCCTCCGCACATGCAGTCCCATGGTCCTTCTCCTCCCACTGCTACTCCCCCCTCCTCCACGCAAGTCATACTTACTACCACCACCAGGGAGACTCCCACTCCTGCTCCCCCCTCCTCCCTGCAGGTCGTACTTTCTGCTACCACCAGCAAGACTTGGGCTGCCACTGCTGCTCCTCCCGCTCCCCCGAAGGTCGTACCTACCACTACCTCCGCCAGGGAGCTTTCTAGGAACATTCCCACGCCCAGGTGACACCTTATACGCTTCTGGTATCGGCTCAGACCCGATCGCAAACAGCATTCCAGACAGCACGCCAGGTGAAACGCCAGGTGACACCCCAGGTGACATGCCAGGTGACATCCCAGGTGAACCACGCGGCGACATTTGCGTCGACATGTGCGGAGCTTCCAAGATGGTTTCGTGGCTCAAGCTACTAGGCCCGAATCCAGACAGCACACTGGACTGATCATACCCCATACCACCCATACCGGCCAGCACAATAGGCTGGTGGTCATAGCCTATTCCAGAGAGCATGGTGGGTTGGCAGAGAACAGAGAGGGAGGAGGCCGCTGCATAGCTCTGTACGGCTGACATGGACCGGATAAGACCCAGCCGGGACGCACCGGAGAGAGAAGCAAACTGAGGCCGGCTGGCTAGACCCGGCCAGCCCAGCCCTATTCCATTCAGGTTCCCCGCACCTGCCGCAGAAGCACCAGGAGCACCCGCAGCAAAGCGCGCCCTACCGCCGAAGCTGCTGCTCAGCTTCCGGATCTGTGCCGAGCCTCGCCCGAGGCTGCCTCCCTGGCCCGGGCTGACTAGAGTGGTAAAATGCGGAAGCGCAGAGGGAGAAGTGAGCGACGCTGAAGCAGCAGCAGCAGCTGAAGGGCGGTGGGCCAGGGAGGAGGAGGGATGGCTGAGATTCACGTTGATCATTCTAAGCCGTTCTAGACCGTCGGATAGGCTTGAGCGGGGCTGGTGGGGGTTGGCAAGACTGGTGGTATTTGTGGGGCGAGCATACTGGTCTGAGAGGGAGCGGTGCTGCAAGAAGTGCACATGTAAGTGCGGAGATGCAGAGAGGTGGTGAACGGTGGGAGAAGATGCAGAGGGGTGCTGAGCTGTAAGCGCAGTTGTCAGCGGCTGTGTCTCAGCACTACCAGCAGGGGGCACGGCCGACGCAGGCAGCCTCTGAGTCGACTCGAAACTGACCGAGGCAGGCACACGCCAAGCGTTGAAAGAGAGGCGCCGCCTCCCTCCCCCTCCCTCCACCCGCTCCTCCCTCTCCACACCCTCCTCCTCTTCCCCATCCTCTTCCTCCTCCATTATCTCCTCACCCCCCACACCTGCTGCTCTTGCTTCTGCCCCCGCTGCTACTGATTTTCCCACTGTGCCACCAGCATCAACAGTAGTAGCAGCAGTAGTGGCAGCAGTGGCAACAGCTGCAGCACCAGCGGCGGCAGCAGCAACAGATTGGAGCCTGGTGCTGCGTGTGATGCTCTCCCACACAGAGTTGAGCGACGGAGGGACGTCCACAGCAGCGGACGCTGTGGGTGTAGAAAGGGACAAAGACTCTGCCACAGGCACTGCTAGGGCGGGCACTGCTGGTGCAGGCACTGCTAGGGCATGCATTTCTGGGCCAGGCATTTCAGGGACGGGCAGAAGCGTGGGGAAGGCGTTTTCTGGTGCAGTAAGGTCATAGGATTGAAACTCATGCTCTTCATCAGCCGGAAGGGCACTTCCTGCAGCAGCAGCACCCATAGCGCCATCGCTGAAGCTGCCAAACCCACCCCAGAAAGCGCGTGAACCCACACCAGCAGCCGCAATACTAGCAGTAGCACTACCACCACCACCACATGCCTCTGCGAGGCTTCCTGCTCCTGTTGCTCCTCCTGCTCCTGACTCTGCTCCTCCTGTTCTTCCCAAACCTACAGCTTCATCCACTCCTCCTGTTCCTCCCACTCCCCCTGCTCCTTCTGGTACTCCTGCTACTCCCACATCTCCCACTCCTTCTCCCTCCACGCCTGCTACCGCTGCTACAGGGACTGTAGCAAACTCTTCAGGCCCCTTGGAGCCTGAGGTTGCAGCCACGGCAGCAGCAGCAGTCTGAGGAAGGCCAACTGGGGATATGGATGTGAGCAGAGATGTGTGATTGGCGATATGGCCAGGGGAGTGTGACTGCTGCTGCTGCTGCTGCTCCTGCTGGTGGTGGTGCTGGTGAATCATCTCGGGAGATGCTGCAGCAGCCGATGCAGCAGGCACCTCCGCAGCGGGTGGGGCCTGCATGGCAAACGAGTTTCGAGACGAGCCCCCGCCCATGGGCTCTCCGTTGAGGGCGTGGGCGAAGCAGGAGAGGATGTGGGTGAGGCGCGAGGCGTGCAGGGGGCGTGTGGTGACGAGCGAGTGGTGCTGCTGGTGTAGGTAGCGGCGCAGGCGAGGGTCCACGCCTGGAGGGACTAGCCACGCCACGACAAGAGACTCTGCCATCTGTGAGGGGGGTTGAGGTTCAAACGGCACATAAGGGGCAAAAGGGGCAAGCGGGGCACCAGGGGCTCTTGGATGTGTGTGAGGCGCGAGGCATGCAGGGGGCGGGTGGTGCTGAGCGAGTGGTGCTGCTGGTGTAGGAAGCGACACAGGCGAGGGTCCACCCCTGGAGGGACTAGCCACGCCACGACAAGGGACTCAGCCATCTGGGGAGAAGGGGGAGTTGGGTTACAGTACAAGGTGAAACAGGGGCACAAGGGGCATAAGGGGCACCAGGGATGTGTGTGAGGCGCGAGGCGTGCAAGGGGTGCGTGGTGATGAGCGAGTGGTGATGAGCGAGTGGTGATGAGCGAGTGGTGATGAGCGAGTGGTGATGAGCGAGTGGTGATGAGCGAGTGGTGATGAGCGAGTGGTGATGAGCGAGTGGTGATGAGCGTGTGTTGATGAGCGAGTGGTGGTGCTGGTGTAGGAAGCGACACAGGCGAGGGTCCACCCCTGGAGGGACTAGCCACGCCACAACGAGTAAGTCTGCCATCTGGGAAAAAGGGAGAAGAGGGCAAATTACAGCTGGCACAACGTTGAGGGTTGCAGCAGCACAGGCGGATTCTGGTCTTCCCTCGATTCAAAAGCCACCTCAGCTCCAGGCAGAAAGGGACACAGCCAATTTGTTACCCACCTGCGGTGTCTGCGTGCGGATGGCGTTCAGATCAGCACACAGCCTCTCCAGCTCAGGCGGGACCATGAAAGGGCGAGCAGCAGGGCTACTGAGACCCCCTTCCCCGTGCACGTCAAAGCGGGGCAGGTGACTGGCAGCACTCGCCCCCACTGCTAACGGGTCCTGCTCTGCTGGGTCTATCAACGCGTTGCAAAGCCCGCGGCTTCCTGGAAGCAGCATGATGTCGATGATTGCCAGAATAGGGTAGCTGCGGTCGGCAAGCTTGATTCCATCTTTGTCAGCGTCTGCGTCTGCGTCTGCGTCTGCATCTGCATCTGCATCTGCATCTGCATCTGCTTGTTTGTCTGTGGCTGCTGTGGCTGTGTCCCTCTCCTCTCCCCACTCCGCCTCCTCTCTCTCCCCCTCTTTCTCCCTCTCCCCCTCTGCTTCCTCCTCCCCAACACTCTTCCGGTCCTTCCCCTTCTCCCCATCCCGGCCCTCCCTCTCCATGTCCCCTTCCCAGGTGTTCGCTCTGTGGGTGAGAACTGCTGGGGCCTCTTGAGCTGCTGCTCTCTGCTGTTGACTTGATTGACTTGTTTGACCTGGCTGAATGTGGTGGGAGGAGAACGTGTGGTGGGACGAGTGCCCAAGGCCAGCCAGAGCAGCGAGAGAAGACGGCAGCATCGATGAGAGCTCCATCTTTGCAAGCAACCCCTGGGAAGGCCTTTGAGCCGAGTCGAAGGGGGCCAGACGGGATGGCAGCCACCGCCTGCTTCCTCCCCTCTCTCCCTCCCGCCCTCCCTCGTGCCTCCCCACACTAACAGCAGCAGAAGAAGCGTCTACAGTGTTGCCTCTATCAGCAGCAGCGGCGGCAGCAGTAGCAGCAGCAGCAGTAGGACCCAGGGAGGGCCCCACACGCCCTGCAAGCACTATTGGCGCAGTGAACGACCCCCTCCGCGCCTCAGACGACACAAACGCCCCGCCCCTTCTCTGAGAACCATTCCCTGCCTCTCCACACCCCTCTGCACCGCTCTGAATCCCTCTGTCTCCCCTTGCACCTTTCCCGTGGCCGATGGTGGCGGCAGCAGCAGTGAGGGCAGCGGTTCGGCGGCGCAGCAGGGAGGTGTGAATGGCGTGGTCCAGTGCGGTTTTGATGGTCTCCCATGCCCCCACTTCCCTCACTGCAATTCTCTTGCCCTCCAGCCATTTGGTGGCTGTGGCCCTGCCTGGACACTCCTCCATTGCCAGCACCATCTGAACCTGAACGTGATGGAAGGGGGGAAGAAGGGGGGAGTGAGGGGGGTTGTGGGGGGCCTGGGGAACAGGAGGTGCGATTGCTGCGGCCCTGCCAGGACACTCCATCGCCAGCACCACCTGAACTTGCACACACGTGACGAAAAGGAGGGAGGAATTGGTGGAAGAGGTGGGGAGGTGGGAGAAAAGGGAGGAGCTAACGGCATAGTCTGCAGCATGCTCCCACCCACTTCCCTCACTGCAATTCTCTTGCCCTCCAGCCACTTGGTGGCTGTGGCCCTGCCTGGACACTCCTCCATTGCCAGCACCATCTGAACCTGAACGTGAAGGACGGGGGGGAGAGGGGGGAAGGGGGGTTGGGTTGGGAAAGGTGTGGGAAGGGGGGGAAAACAGGAGGTGTGACTGCTGTGGCCCTGCCTGGACACCCCTCCATCGCCAGCACCACCTGAACCTGCAAGTGATTGAAGGGGAGAAGAGAGGGGGAAAAGGGGTTCGGGTTGGGAGCGGTGCGGGAGGGGGGAACAGGAGGTGCGATTGCTGTGGCATTGCAGGGCAGGAGCGGGGAGGGGTGGGAGAGGAGAGCAGGGAGATCGACCAGCCAGGTCGCTTAGTGGATTATCCAAGCAGAAAAACTTTGAGGCGCCTCAAAAGTCAGTGGTGGGAACTTCTGAGGCGCCTCAAAAGTCGACCCAGGAAAGCGGCGGTGGGGACGAGCTTACCTCGCTGTGGTTGAGAGCAGGAGGGGCTGGTTGGGGAGGGGAGGGAGCCAGCTCCCCCCATGGGTTATCCGACGGGCCTTCACCAAACCTGGTGGATGGGACGATGGGACAATGGGTGGATGGGTGGATGAGGGGATGGGGGCAATGCAAGGAGTGGTTACATGGTTCTCCAGGGTGTTTTTGAGAATTCTCTTCAATGTTTTGAGAAAACACCCTGCAGCATCAAGGAGTGGTTACATGGTTCTCTTCTCTGAGAGACTTCCGAGCCTATATCATCCTTTCAGTGACTTGTGCAAGGAGCAGCTGTACCAGGCCAGATTCAGCAGCCCTGAAATACTAACTGTGCGCCCGCCCACCTTGGAATGAAAGACACCGATACGTCTGGGTCGTCCATGCGAGCACCGCCGCCACCGTCAGCAGCAGAAACAGCAGCAGCAGAACGAGGAGCAGGAGGGGGCACACGGGGCAGCATGAGGGAGAAGCGGATGAGGGCACCAGGACCTTCCTTATCAGCAACTGCCACATGGCCGCCCATGAGCTCCACCAGCCCCTTCACTATGTTCAGCCCCAGCCCCGACCCCGCATGCACGCGCGAGGCCGACTCGTCCACCTGCGAGAAGCTCTCAAACACCGCCTCGCGCTTCTCCGGTGGTATACCACACCCCGTGTCATCCACCTCAAAGATTATCAGCACTCGGTCGTCTGTGGCAGGCTCGACTGCTGGGCCTTCCCCAGGTGGAACCTCCTCTCCCCCAGGTGGAACCTCCTCAGGTGGGTCCTCCTCACCCGTAGGTGGGCGCTCCCCAGGTGGGCGCTCCTCAGGTGGATTGTCACCAGGTACACCCTCCCCTTCCTCTGCAGCATCCTCAGCTACACCTTCCCCAGCTGACCCTGGACCCATCCCACTACAGGCCATCCCATCTGTTTGGCCTCCAGCCTCCCTCCCCACTCCTTCGCCCCACCCCAACCTCCCCCCCTCCTCAATCACTATATCCACAAGCTCACTCCCCTCTGTGTCCGATTCAGCTGCGGTATCTGCAACCCCTCCCACGCACAGCACTCTCATGACCTCTCCTGGGGCTCTACGGGTACTGTAAGTCCTCACTCCCCCCTCCCGGGTTCCTAACAGTGGGCTGCTCTGCTCCCTGAGACTAGAAGAGCGGTTGAATGAGGGTGAGGAGGACAGCCCGCCTGCACAGGGAAACCCACCTGTGCAGGCCAAGGCTCCTCGCACTCCCTCGCCCCTCCCTCTCGCTCCCCCGCTCCTCCCTACCCGTGCTCCTGTGAATGCACCTCCGCCTGCTCCTCCCCCTAGTTCTGCTCGTTCCCAGCCTCCTGTTACTGCCCCTACTGGTAGGCACCCTGCCGCTGCCATCATAGGAGCACAGCCGTGCGGGTTTCCCCTGTGGCCCCTCAGGCTCTCTTCATCCTCCTCCTCCTCCTCCACCTCCTCCTCCTCCCCATCCTCAACCCCATCCTCTTCGCGCTCCTCCTGCTCCTCCGCTTTCCCTACCAATGCGTTTTCCCTTGTTGCCTGTAAGCTGTACCTGCTGTGGCAACGAGCGGCCCCAGCAGCAGCACTAGCAGTACCAGCAGCAGAAGCAGAATTCCCAACAACACTACCAGCAGCACTGCCGACAGCACTGCCAGCAGAAGCAACAGAAGCGAGAGCAGAGGGAGCAGGCGCGGCAGCAGGTGGGTGCTGCTTGTGGGGGAGAAGGGCGCTGAGAGCGCTCATCCGCACGGAGTAGATGTCTGCACCGCTCTCCACAGCTGTTCGCGACTGGGAAAGGAGAGGGAAAGGCAACGGAGGGAGAAAAGGGGAATTTTTATTCAACTCAAAAGGAGGGCGCTGAGAGCGCTCATCCGCACGGAGTAGATGTCTGCACCGCTCTCCACAGCTGTTCGCGACTGGGAAGGGGGCGGGAAAACCAGTGGGGCGGAGGAGAGGGAGAGAGGGAGAGAGAGCATTGGTGAAATTTGAGTCGTCTCAAAGCAGCAGCTTGTGGGGGAGGAGGGCGCGGAAAGTGCTCATTTGCAGGGAGTATATGTCTGCACCGCTCTACAGGGCTGTTCGCGACTGGAAGGGGGTATACCAAGCAAGGGAGGAGGGGAGGGAAGGAAAGCATTGGTTCGGTGAGAGAGGAAGGGGTTGGAAGAGGAGGGGCAGGGCAGATTGAACAAACTCAAGCATAAGAAAGGCATCATAAGGGGTGCAATTCACTCACCATGGCAAACGTGTTGGGAGTGTGCACGACCCACGCGCGCACGTGAATATACCCCTGCTCCGTGAACTTCACGCTATTGGACAGCAGGTTGCTGAGAACCTGGCGGAACCGCATTGCATCCCCCAGCACCATGTCTGGGAGGTCATCTGCTAGATCCATTGAGAGGTCCACCCCGCTGCCGATGCAGTGCACTGCAAACATGTCCAGTAATGTCTCCATCTCCGTGACTATACTGAAGGGCGCTAATGTGAGCTCCAACGCCCCCACCTCCACCTGAAAAGAAATGGAAGGGAACGAGCAGGGAGGGAGCGACTGGCATGATTCTGCTGGAAAGCAGGTTGCAGAGCACCTCCCCAGCACCATTACCGGGAGGTCGTCTAGTAGATCCATAGAGAGGTCAACCCCGCTGCCGATGCAGTGCACTGCAAACATGTCCAATAGTGTCTCCATCTCCGTGATTATACTGAAGGGCGCTAATGTGAGCTCTAGCGCGCCCACCTCCACCTGCAGGGGGAGGGGGAGAGCGAGGGAGGGGTGCATGGGAATGGATGATTAGATGCAGTGCACTGCAAACATGTCCAGCAGTGTCGCCACCTCCGTTTCTATGCTGAGGGGCGCCATGGTGAGTTCTATCGCGCCCACTTCCACATGCAGGGGGGGTGGAAAGGGAGTGAGGGGTGCATGGGAATGAGTATATTTTTGAGTCAACTCAAAAACGGGGGAGTGAGGGGTGCATGGGAATGAGAATATTTTTGAGTCGACTCAAAAACGGGGGAGTGAGGGGTGCATGGGAATGAGTATATGCAGTGCACTGCAAACGCGTCGAGCAGCGTCTCCATCTCTGTGATTATACTGAAGGGCGGTAGGGTATGCTAAGGCCAGACCAGACCAGACAAAACAGGGCTCAGACCTTGGAGATGTCAAGGACGTTGTTGATGAGGTCTAGCAGGCCCGAGGCACAGCGCTTTTTGAGGCGCCTCGAACTCGCCTCAAGAGCAAACAGGGCAGGGCCCAGGGCGGGCCTGAGGCACAGGGCAGGGAAGGGCAGGGCAGACCTCTGACCTTGGAAATATCAAGGACGTTGTTGATGAGCGCGAGGAGTCCTGAGGCGCAGCGCTTGATCTGCAGCACCATGGCCTCCTGCTCGGGGGAGAGTGAGTCGCACGCCAGCAGGTCTAACAGCCCGATGATGCCCGCCAGTGGCGTGCGCAGCTCGTGACTGTATGGAGGAGGGGAAGAGGGGAGGAGGGGAGGAGGGGAGAGGGGGAGGAGGGGAGGGGGGGAGGAGTAGAGGAGGAGAGCACTTGATCTGCAGCACCATGGCCTCCTGCTCCGGGGTGAGCGCGTCGCACGCCAACAGGTCTAACAGCCCGATGATGCCCGCCAGTGGCGTGCGCAGCTCGTGACTGGGAAGAGGAAGGAGGGGAGGAGACGAGGAGGAAGTAAGTCAAAGGTGGTTGCTGCGTTGCTCCACCCTGCGCTTCTCTCAACCAGCCGTGGAACAAGCTTGTGACGCGCCTCAAAAACACTCTAAGAACCTCTGGCGCATCAGAAGAAGCAGAGATCGTGGGTTCACCTCATGTTGGCGAGGAACTGGCTCTTGTGGTTGCTGCGCTGCTCCACCCTGTGCTTCTCCACCAGCTGCCGCACCAGCTCCTGCCGCAGCGTCTGCCCGGTTCGAGCCAGGTCCGTGGATCCGTTCATGCAGACGAGCAGCAAGCCTATAACAAGGATGACCAGTGGCAGGGCGATGCAGAGCGCCCTGACAGTGTCACTGCCGGAATCCAAGGGCGCAAGGATAAGAGCCGACGGCACTATGGAAATCAACACCAGCGTATCACCCTGTTGCTGCTGCTGCTGCTGCACTGGCCCCTGTAGGCTAGAGGCAGAGGCGTTGACACTGACAGGGCATGCGTCCACGTAGTACAGCTGTTCGGTACCCCCAGTGGTGGCCTGGGCGGAAGTTTCTAGAGTAGTCTGGCCGCCCCCAGTACCCCCAAGGAGGCTTCCCAGGCTCACGGAGTTCCCGAGGTGATTAGGGTTTATGGAGTTCCCCAAGGGGACACGGTCAGGGGAGAAGAAGCAGGCGGAGAGGAGCTGGGAGGGGGAGACTGCAGAAGCGAGGTACTGTGCTGCAGCGGATGCGACATGGCTGGCTGACGTGGCAGCGTTGGATAGGCTGGGGTCGGTGGGTTGTGAAGGAGTGACAGTGTAGAGAAGAGTGTAATTGGTGATTCTAGCGAGGAGCATGTGTGTGTGCAAGTGTCCCAATGAGTCTTCTCCAGGGAAGGTTCCTGAGAAGGAGACGAAGGTTCCTTCAAGTGTAGGTGCTGGCCGGGCATCAGAGGAGGAGGGTGCAGTGGCAAGGGCTGCGCCCATCCCTGCAGATGCGCCCTGCACCAGTTGCGCCCGTGTGCTGCGGCCCACGTGGGTGAGGGCTGACGTGGCATAGGAGCGCATGAGCGACCACGTGAGGAGCATGCAGGCTGCAACGAGGATGTATATGATTATCTGGTGCAGGGGAAGGCGGAAAAAAAAGGGGTAGAAAGGGGGAAAGGGGGGAATGGGGAAGCATGCGAGCAGAGCGAGGGAAGGCGGGGAGGAGCGCATGAGCAACCATGTGAGGAACATGCAGGCTGCAACGAGGATTTATATGAATATCTGGTGGAGAAGAAGGCTACGGGGGAGGAAGGCGGGGAGGGAGGGAAGCGGGGAAAGGGGGGGTTGGGGGAGGGGAGCACTTGAGCAAACAGCAGAGGCGGTTGGATAGCGAAGGATGGGATGACTTTTCGAAGCGGCTGGAGAGTGATGCAAGGGAAGGGAAGTCTGTGAGGAGCACACACGCGGCCATGGGAGGAAGAGGCAAGATGTCAGCTACAGGCGGAGGAGATGGGAGGGAGGACGAATGGAATAGGTGAAGGATGGGCTAGTCTAGACCCGATGGATGTGGGGTAAGGGGAAGGGGGGGGGTTCGAGGGGTTTGGGATTAGAGGGGCGTTGGCTGAAAGGGAGTGAGAAACGGGATGCTAGAAAGAAGAGATGGGGGAAAAGGAAAGGACGAGCAAGGGCTCCGGTCGCCACAGTGATGTGATGATGTGACGTGATGTGATTGATGTGACGTGATGTGACGTGATGTGATGATGTGACGTGATGTGATGATGTGACGTGATGTGATGATGTGACGTGATGTGACGTGATGTGATGATGTGACGTGATGTGACGTGATGTGATGATGTGACGTGATGTGACGTGATGTGATGATGTGACGTGATGTGATGATGTGACGTGATGTGACGTGATGTGATGATGTGACGTGATGTGATGATGTGACGTGATGTGACGACCAAGTCCAATTCTGCTTACCACAGCTGCCAGCCGTCTCATGAGCACAGGTCGTTTCTTCACAGCCCGAATAAGCCGCCGACCCACCCTTCTAAAACCCTTTCTCAGGCCATCCCCTTTCCTCCACAGCTCCCCCTCCCCGTCGCTCCCATCCGGGAAGCTTCTGGGAAGGACTTCTTTCATGAGTGCGTCGCTAAATGACACGGAGGGTGCTGCTGACGTGTCCACCACGACCTGATCCAATGGGGACGCGCCATGTGGATGGCTATGTGCCGAGTGCCAGAACCTGTGCGAGGCAGTGGGATGGGGATGTGGGTTTTGAAGCGAATCAGGCGTGGAGAGCAAAGAAAAAAATATTGGTAGACTAAGATGCGCGTCTAATTACGCTCGATTACACCTGAACCTGGGCTTCTGAACGCCCTTCTTGGTCCCTAATCATTCATCTACGCTCTCTACCACCGCTCTGGACCACTTGTTATTCTACCTGACACAGTGTTAACTTCGAGGGTTTACTTGGATGGCACATGCCTATAGGTGGGATGTGAAGACCGCAGAGAATTTGCTGAATATGCAGTAAATACACACATCGTAACGTACCCTTGTGACTCTCTACTGTGCGAATCATTCAGAGCCGCGGAATCAGCACCGCTATAATCACGCTCGTCCAAAGGAAATTCTCCAACTCCACGGTTCTGCGCTTCGAAACCGCCCTCCTCGTTCCCCCTTCCCTCGTGCTCCTCCCCGCGTTCTCTCCCCGAGCTCCCCTCAACTCCCCGCTCAACCTCCTCCTCCTCATGCCGGGTCCCGATAAAAATGGCCGTCAATCTCCGCCATCCTCGCCGTCTCGGGCCTCGCGCGCATCTAACGTCCCTCGGGGACAGATCAGAGCCGTCCGATCCGCTCCACTGGGACGAGGTCGACGTCACGGTGCCTCCATGACCGTCCATGACCATTGGATGAAACTCTACCAGAAGGGACGCTGTAGCCTTGAAATTTGGCACCTTCTTGGACTACGACCCATACTTAAACTGCTGCCGTGAACGAGCCGCCAGTGAAATAGGTAACCTACGCGGTTTCTTATATCGTGCCGTACACAGGCAGGCCACATACTCTGGAACCTTGGAACCGAACAACTCTGCCCATCAATGTCAAAACTCGAATTCTAGGGCCTGAATGACGCTACTTTCAATAACATCCTAAAATACGTTGAATCAAAAAGACCTGTTGATGAATAAACGAACTCGCTTTCGAGAACACCAAGTGCTCTCACAACTTAATCTGACCTGCATTCTGACAGAACCTGCCGAGCTTGCCATCAATCCCTGCTGTTCATCTGACGTATCACTTTCCTCTGGCTACTATGGCTTCATCATGCTTGGCCAACGTTGCTTCGCAACTCTTGTAGTTAACGAGTACTCCTGAGAAAAGAATCCTACCGTCGGACGCGCAGTAGGAGAAGCATACGTCCGTCTAGTCGTCAGCACGCACCCAGAGTCACTAACTAAAACGCATCGACTCGGAATAGCATTACCGCCAAACCAATCTAACCTTTTCACTCAGGAGCAGTTGTTGCGAATTAACACCTGCTTAGCTCGTTCCCCTGCTATACACAAATACACTACCAACTGAGCGTGGAGGATACTAGCTTGCACCAGACCGCTACAATGTAAACGGCGATAAGTAATGTAGCCCTAATTCTGTGTTGGCTGCTGCTAAACTGAAAGACCTAGGAAACCTAACTGAACTGCAACTGAAGTGGCTAACAACTGGAGTGCCATGACATTGACTTCTGTGTAATATTCTTATGAACCGTTCTATAAAGAAAAGGAAACGCTTTGAGAAGCCGAGAAATCTACTCAACCGCAAAGCAAGTGAATTGTTGCACCTCACAGGCACTTGCAGTAAGGGAACGGCACTGCAGGCAGGAGCCATTTCTCCAGCAAGCTTCCAACAATTCCCAAGGGATTTCGGTGGACGACTTGGTTCAACAGTGGATGACGCTCAGGCAAGCAGCAGGGGGTGGTTGGCGCGTTGACGACGACATCAAGCGATGAGATTGGCGACGCGACGCGACATGATTGAGGTCGAGGGAAGGCTGGCGAGCAACCAAATCACGCTACGCCCCTATGATTCGTGAGAATTCAAGGTGGAGCAAATTGTCAGACACCAAGTGGATTTCGGTGACATGAATTAAGGCAATCCTTAATCGTAAGGCTGAAAGTAGGACATGTCGGCAATCTTGCATTCGCTAGGCACGTGTGAGGATAACTCCAGGGACCACGGCGGGACAATTCGTCGGCCGTCGATGATCAGAGAACGGTTACGATCGACGCGATGTCTGGAACAGTGACTGAAAGATCGAAGACCACACTGCTCACGGGTTTGGCAGGCGGAGAATCTTTCAGTGCTTCCTGCTCAACAGTTCCGACGCTGAGTGGGTGGACGACTCGACAGGGGACATCCATGTTGAAAATATAAAAGCATCAATGATTGTCAGACCAGAAAAAAAATGCTAAGCATGCTTCTAAAATTTCTTACTTAGCATCATTGATGATATTGACTATCACTTGTCACTTGCTTCACAATTACACCATAGCATAGTACGGTACCACATATACCTTGAAGAAATCTGATATCCAGAACTCTACAGCAGCCACATTACTTAGGTAACCGTAACTAGAGAGCTGCATAAGTTTTAGCTTCAGAGGCACGAGGCTCGCCGGCTGGGGCATTTAAATCCAATCAGAATTAAAAGCTGTTCCTAAAATTTTATCCCATAACATGGTGATGTATAACGCAGGTACACTCCAGACACGGTGGTCAACTTTCCTCAACCGAAACCACAAAAAATATCAACTATCGCCATCGGCTCTACTGCACTCCCACAACAAAACCACCTCCTTCCCCTGCACCTGGCCGAAGAGGTTCTCAAACAAACTTTCCACAACGGGCGGCAGCTGAACGGGTCCCGGGGCCATGAAATTCACGAGAGCCGGCATCGGTGCATACCGCACCTTGCGGCCCTTGGATGCCCTCCTGTCCACCGCCTTGCTCTTGCTGCCCACCGCCATGCCCCTGCTGCCCCTCAGCCGCCGGGATGCTATGCCCAGCTCCTCCACGTGGGACGAGCTCAGGAGCACTTGCAGAAGCACTTGCAAAAGCTACTTCTTTCCGAAAAGATTCCCGAACAGCCGTTCTACTACAGGCGGCAGGTGAACGGGCTCTGGGGCCATGAAGTTAACAAGCGCAGGCATCGGAGCGTACCGCACCTTGCGCCCCTTGGACGCCCTCCTGTCCACCGCCTTGCCCTTGCTGCCCCGCAGCCGCCGCACCACCTGCTGGGAGGCAATGCCGAGCTCTTCCAGGTGGGATGAGTCGAGGAATTCACGTAGGAGCTGCTGGTAAAACTCTGTGTCATCGTATGAGTCCATGTCCCACTCGCCTTCCTGCTCCTCCTCCTCCTTCCTCTCATTCTCCTCCCCTTCCTCCGCCGGCTCCTTTTCTTCCCCCTCCTTCTGTTCACCCTGCTCTTCCTGAATAACACCATTTAATTCCCTCATTCCACTCTCCTCTCCCCAACCGTTCCCACTCCCTCGTCCCCCCCACCTACACCGTCCGGCCCCTTCCGCTTCTTCCCAGCACCACCGGCAGCAGCAAGAGCTTCCGCTTTTGCTCCGATCACACTGACGGCCTCGCGGGGCAATCTGGACCGTTGGATGAGGCGATCGGGGGCGCGGAGGGCAGAGGCGACCTGCTGGGAGACGCTCTGGTTGAGCACTCTCAGTCGGCTGCTGCTGCGACCAGCTGCCATGGCCCCTGACGTCAGCAGGGTCTTCCGATGCCACCTGCATTGAGTGAGAGGGGGGGGTGGTGGTGGTGGGGGTAGGGGTGGGGTGGGGGGGCGAGAGGGGGAAAAGTCCAGAAGCAGGGATGGGAGCAGGGAAAGCAGGGAAAATTCGTTTTGACACTCTTGTTGAGCAGTCAAGGTGTCTCATGAATGTCAATCGGCTGCTGCCAGCCTGCCTCGGCTGCAAACCCCAACACGAGTTCGCACTGCCAGTTGAAGGTTCAGGGGTTAGCATGAAATTCCATCCCCTGAACCCTTGAAACGAAACCCTTGCCACCAATGACAATTACACCCCTGCAGCACCCACCCACTCTCTATCACCTGCCTACTGAGCTTCAGAACACGGTTTTTACATTAAATCCCAAATCCTGAACATTCCGCACCAAAAAAAGGCCTCACCTGTCTATGGAGCTCTGGGAGAAGGGTCGGAACCGTTCGTACGCCCTTGAGATCTGCTCCCAGACCTCCTCGAAGCTCCCATCGTCTATAGAACCCTGGTTAAACCCTAAACCTCCTTCCCCTCCTTGTTCTTGTCTTCCCGACCCTTCCCCGTCTCCGCCTCCGCCTTCCGCCAGCGCCGCCCGCGCGGCTTTGAACGCGCCGTCAATTGCAGCGTTCCGGCTGAACAGCTCGTCCTGCAACGTCAGCAGCTGCCGGATTGCCGTCCGCGTGCCGGCCGCTACAGCCTGGAACTCCGCTGCCACGTCCGGCGCTACAGCCGCGTAGGCGGCATGCGCGAGGGCGTGGGGGAGGCGGCACGCGGACTGCAGCGGGCGCTGCAGCGCTATGCGGAGCTCCAGGGCGCGGTCCCACAGCGCGCGTTGCGCGGCTACCGCGCGGCCCTTATCCTCGTCACGAACCGCCCCTTTAAATGCACTTCTCGCTATCGCCACCGGCGCGCCGCCACCTTCGCCGCCGTCACCGCCGCTCCCCCGCTGACCTACCCGCTCTCCATCCTCGTCAACATCGTCCTCGTCACTATCGTTAACATCCCGCCCGGCAACTGTAGCAGCTGGTCGAAACTCGTCTTTTAGGGCGGCCTCGAAGTCTCGATCGAGCGCGTCCATCCCAAGGTCCATCGTGGCGGGCGCCGCCGTCAGCAGCGCGTCGCCCTCCAGCTCTTCCTCGCTCCCTTGTAGCGCCTCCTCCTCGACATCCTCGCTATAATCATCCTCGCTAGTGCCATCCTCGTTATCCTCATCCTCGACTGGGCTGTCCTCCCCCTCCTCCTCCTCATTCCATTCCTCCCCCTCCTGATCGTCATCCCTCCCCGCATCACCTCCCTTCTGCATTCTCTCATCCACATCATCCTCCACGTCGTCATCCTCCGCGTCATCATCATCATCCGCCACGTCATCCTCCACGTCATCCGCCCACCCATCAAATAGAGCCGATCTGCTGCTCTTATTCCCGCCATATTCCCGCCCCTCCATTACCAGATTCCCCCGCAAACTCAGCCCCTTCTCCTTCGCCGCGGTCCCGCGTTCTCCGCGCTTCCGCCCTGCGCCAGCCTCCCCCAGGCGCACGACCCCGGCTTCCGCCGCGCCCCATCCTTCCCCCGCCTCCGCCGACTCGTCTCCGCCGAAGATCGCGCGCGCCTCTGCGCCGAACCCCTGCGCGTCTTCAGGATCCTCGTGGCCCGCGGTGGGCGCGGGGGTTAGCAGCTCCGCTAGCTGCTCCGATAAAGGCTTCTTCCGACTAGCCATAATCTTTCGTCAAGGGAGAATTTCAAAGTGTACAGAACAATGAGCTACAGATTAATCTACGAGGACCAAATGAAGGGAAGAATGGGTGACAACGAAGCTTGAAAAACCTGAAGGTACGAAAACCTTGAGCGAAATTGCAAACCTCCAATTCGGGTTTTGTGCGAGACACCAGGCTTGAGAGGCACTCGATTCGCTTGCTCTGGATGAGAAAGACTGTAGAGCTTTAATAAATGATGAAAACTGGTATGTCCCAAGTTGAGTACCAAATACTGCCTCAAGTTGTAAATTATCGTACTACTATAGAGTGGTTGGCTGATCATCATCTTTTCTGCTGATTAAAAACAAATTTTCTGATTCATCTCGTTTTACGTCCACAAGCATAACCAAATGAGAACATTTCCCCAAACCTTTCCCCCAATCTTACCCCCTCCCCATCCACACATAATTCACTATCAGAGGACCCCCCCCCCGGGAAGGGGCAGCACGTGGTTCAGTCAGTTTCTCCTTCACATCAACTCCCACCCACGTGCTGCTCCCCACGCCCTGCCCTGCCCCCTCCACCACCCAGCACACATCATTCACTATCAGAGGAACCCCCATGGGGAGTGGCTGCCCCGGGTTCAGTTGATTCCTCCTTCACCACTCCCACTCGCTGCTGCCCTGCTCCGTGCCCTGCCCCGTGCCCTGCCTCTTCCAGTAGCTCCTGCTTCACTCGTCCCGCCTCCCTCGCTTGCTCCACAAGCTCCGTTTCACACGCACACTCTCTGATGCTCCCACAGCAGCAGGCACAGGAGCAGCAGCAGAGGCTGGAGTGATAGGAGCAACAGCAGCCACCGCAGCAGCAGCAGGAGCCACAACAGCAGCTGGTGTTACTAGTGGCGGTTCAGGTGTTACCGCTTCAGGAGCTGCTGCAACTGCTGCGGCAGGCTCTGCTGCTGGTGCTACAGCTGTTGCTGCTGTTTGTCCTGCTTGTGCTGCTGGTGCTGTTGGTGCTGTTAATGGTGGCATCAGTCCCGCTGGCGCTGCGGGTGGTGGTCCTCTCCCTGCTGTTGGTTCACCTACAGCTGCTGCTGCTGCTGCTCCTGCTCCTGCTGCTGTTCCTGCTGCTGTTCCTGCTGCTGCCACCATTGGTGGCATCAACCCTGCAGGTGCTGCAGGGGGGGGACCTCGTGCTACTGCTGGTTGCTCTCCCTCCCCAGCCTCCTCTTTCACCCTCACATGCTCTTCTACACCTTGCATTCCCTCACCCTCTCCCCACTCCTCTCCCTCTCCTTCCTCACCCTCTCCCTCCTCATCCCTCTCCCGCTCCTCCGCTCCCCCTTCCTCCCCCTTCTCCCCATCCTCTTCCACCCCCTCCTTACCCTTCCCCTCCCCCTCCCCTCCCGTCCTCCCTCCTCGCCCCCCTCCCCGCCCCCTACCCCTCCCTCTCCCTCCGCCCCTCCCTCGCCTGCTCTTGTGCTGCTTCCGCTGCAGCCTCTGCTGCTGCTGCAGCCGTGCCAGAGCTTCCATATGAGCATGCATCTCCATCTGCCGAGCCTGCTCCCGGACCTGCAGCTGTGCTTGTGCTTGCGCATGTCCCTGAGCATGTGCATGTGCATGAGCCTGTGCTTGCGCCTGCATGTGCATCTGTGCTTGCGCCTGCATGTGCATGTGTGCCTGTGCATGTATGTGTGCATGGGCCTGCCCTGGCAGCACAGGAGATGGCACCTGCCCCACATGCACCCCATGCACTGGCAGCATCTGCACTGGCGACTGCACAGGCATTTGCCCTTGCATGGCCACATGTGGTGATGTATGTGGCTGCCCTTGCATTTGAACTTGCATTGTTGAATGTCCCTGTCCCTGTGCCTGTCCCTGTCCCTGTGCCTGGGCCTGGGTCTGTCCCTGGGTCGCCCCTGAGCTTGCGCCTGAGCTTGTGCCTGGGCGAGTTTCAGATGCTGGACCTGCTGCATCCACGCCTGATGCTGCTGGGCTAGTGCTGCCTGCTGCTGCGCCCCTGGCACGTTCTGCAGAATGTACTCCTGTGCAAGGGAGAGAAAACGAAACAGGTTCAATAAACAATAAACAATATACAGTTGCAGAGAACTTCAGTAGTACTAAGCAGGAAAAAAAAAAAAAAAAAAAAAAAAAAAAAAACCCACATACTGCACGTGAGAAGTCAACCTTCCCCTCTCGTACCGTCCTCCCACCCTACCCTACCTTCCACATTCCCATCCTGTTTCCACCCGTCGCCACCATCTCACCTGCTCAGTCACGTTCTGCAGGTGCCACTCCACAATCCTGGCCATCTCCTCAATCCCCGGCACCAGATACGAGTTTCAAACCCTCTCAAAACTCATTCACAGCCCATCCCCCTCCGCCTCACCTGCTCAGTCACGTTCTGCAGCCGCCACTCCACCATCCTGGCCATCTCCTCAATCCCCGGCACCAGATACGAGTTTCAAACCCTCTCAAAACTCATTCACAGCCCATCCCCCTCCGCCTCACCTGCTCAGTCACGTTCTGCAGCCGCCACTCCACCATCCTGGCCATCTCCTCAATCCCCGGCACCAGATACGAGTTTCAGACCCTCTCCAAAACTCATTCACAGCCCATCCCCCTCCGCCTCACCTGCTCAGTCACGTTCTGCAGCCGCCACTCCACCATCCTGGCCATCTCCTCAATCCCTGGCACCAGATACGAGTTTCAAACCCTCTCAAAACTCATTCACAGCCCATCCCCCTCCGCCTCACCTGCTCAGTCACGTTCTGCAGCCGCCACTCCACCATCCTGGCCATCTCCTCAATCCCCGGCACCAAATACGCCCCCTCACTCCCCTCCCCTGCCGCCCTCCCCGTCCTCGCACTCCCTTCCTCCAACACCAAACCCAACCTATCCGGGCGCTGCAGCAGCAGCTGGAAGGTGGGCTGGAGCTCGTAGCACTGCTCGAAGAGCGCGCGGCGGCAGAAGCAGTAGAGGCCGAGGCGGGCGCGGGACATGGCCACCACAAGGCGCCGCACGTCACGCAGGTGGCCCACGGTGCGCGTGCGCACGAGGGAGAGCAGAATGTAGTCGTTCTGCTGGCCCTGGAAGCGATCGACCGTGGTCACCTGGTGTGGTGAGCGGTGAAGAGTGGCAGGAAAGTGGTGGAACGTGATGGAGAGGTAAGAGTGGGTGAGAAAATGGATGGGTATGTGAGAGGGAGAGCAGGGAGCAAACAAAAATGTTACCAGCAGATTAGGACAGCAATACCACACACTCACCTTGCTGGGGCGGCCGAAGCGGGGGTTCCCCGCACATCTCCTCTCGATCACATCCCTGATCAGATGCTTCTGTCCATTGTACGTGGTCAGAATGGATATCTTCTCAGCAGGATACCCCCCAGCAGCCACATGTACTGAAACACACTCACCACATACTCCGCATCGCCCTACCAACCAAACCCTGTTCCTGACCCGAAAAACGCCTTACCATCTCAAGGAGCAGAGCGCAATGCTACCTACCACACGCTCACCTTGCTGGGACGGCCGAAACGTGGGTTCCCGGCACATCGCCGCTCAATGACATCTCGAATCAAATGCTTCTGCCCGTTGTATGTCGTCAGAATTGATATCTTCTCAGCGGGATACCCCAACAGCCGCATGTACTGAAACACGCTCACCACATACTCCGCCTCGCCCAAATTCTGGTAGAACCACGGGTTCGGCTCACTCTCCCCTCTCCCCATCCAATCCCCCACATCCACCAGCTGATACTCCCACGCAAACCCCCCGTTAGCGCGCACATACTCCTCCCCGGTCTTCACCACGGGTAAATCCCCCAGGTCGCGGTATCGCCAGTTGTAAAGCTGGGCAATGGAGGGCCGGGCGCGGCCCTGGGCGTTGAGTTCTATGTAAGGGACGCCCAGGCGGACGAAGCGGGTGAAAAGGCTCTGGTCCATGCGCGAGTATTTCTGAAAGGCCATGTTTTTTACGACGGGGGGCAGCTGGTTGTGGTCTCCGATCAAGATGCAGCGCTTGAGGCGAGAGTAGGACAAGGCACCGTTGCCGCCACCAGCACCAGACGAACCACCAGCAGCCGCAGCACCAGCAGCAGACGCAGCAGCAGTGCCAGTGCCAGTGCCAGCGACGGTGCAGGAGGGGCCGTCGGGGCGCTGCAGCAGCATGGGGATGAAGGTTTCGATCTCGAGGATCTGAGCTGACTCCTCCATGAGCAGGTTGTCAAAGTGGAACCCGAGGTTCAGGAAGTCCCGTCGCTTGAGCGCCGCGTGCGTGCACGTCATGGCCACCACCTTGGCTTGGCGGGCCATCAGGTAGTTGGAGCGGTCCGCTGTGGTCTTAAACAGCTCGAATGCCCGGCACTCTTCCAGCTCCTGCTTGGGAGAAAGTGGTGGGGGAGACGAGGAGCAGCAGGGCAATAGGAGCAAAACTCAAGAGCAGATCTCAGGAGTAACTAGCTCACATCTATGGACAGTACGGGAGGACGACGATGGGAGCAAAAGGGAGAGGGGAGGGGAGGAGCTCATTTCTTAGGCGCCTCAAGAATCATTTTTTGAAACACATCAAAACGCCGTCTCATCTCATGTCACGCATCTCAAACCTCTTAAAGCCCCACCTGGAACATGCCCTTGAGGAACTCGAAGCAGCTCTCTGCCATGCGCATGTCCTGTGCGTACGACGCGCCCGTCATCTTAAAGCCCGGTGCCTCCTGGAAGAACTCCGTGAAGGGGAAGGTGTCCCTTCACTATGCTCGCTGCCCTGCTGCCCCCGCCGCTGCTCCCCGCAGCAGCAGCAGCAGCAGCAGCAGCAGCGGCAGCACTGGAAGGAGCAGCAGCAGGTGCAGCATCATTGGCATCTTGCATCGGCACATCCTTAGCGCCCTCCTCAGCAGCAGCAGCAGCAGCAGCAGCAGGTGCAGAATCAGGAGCAGCAGGAGTAGCAGGAGCAGGTTCAGCAGCAGGCGTGGACTCAGCTGGAGCAGCGTCGCGAACCGACTCACACTTGGCCACAAATGCCTCCCACCTGACACACTCATACACACACACATACACACACACACACATACACACACACACAAACACAAACACAAACACACATACACACACACACACATACACACACACGCACATACATGCACACACACACACACACACATACATGCACACACACACACACACCCACACACATGCACATGCACACACACACATACACATGCACACACACACACACATGCACATGCACACACACATACACACACACACACACACACACACACACATGCACACACACACACACACACAAACACACACACATGCACACAGGTACGTTATCAAGATGGTAGGAGAAACATCACGACTCCCCTGCAATGTCAGTTCCAAAGTGTGCTCAAAAGCAGCCATCCGAAACTAAAATCTACGCAGCAACAGCACGTGCAGTGCAGCTAAGACTGGCTTCTCGCCAACCGCATCCAATCATCACACGTGACCGCCCATCACACGTGACTGCCCATCACATGCAGCAGCCGAAAGAAGGCCACGCTTTTAGAATGCGTATGTTACAACAGAGAAGGCCACAAATAATCACCACAAGCTAAACATTATTCCGGCGGAAATTTAATCACCGCCGGCTTCTTAGCTTACCTGGCGAGCACGTGCAGCAGCCAGAAGTAGGCGCACTCTCACACGTGTACGCCACGTCAGATGGCCGCCCAAGTGTCACTGCCAGTCGCTCCACCTGTGAGAGAGGGGGGTAAAGGGTGGATTTCCAGTCACGACACTCGCATGGCAGCCCCAAGCGACAGCCTATCAAAATAACCACAGATAGCACCCTAGTGCAGCGCTCACCACAGACTGCAGTTCAAGCCGCTTCAGTTCAGCCAGCCAGCACCCACTCGCTCCCTCCCGCTCGCTCGCCCCGCCCATGCACAACTGTACTATGCCCCCCCCCGCTGCTGTACTTACTATGCCCTTACTTCAAACTGTCTTTAAGGCCCACCTCAGCCAGCAGCTCGAGCCTCCTAGCAAGCATGTCGTTGACGCGCCCCATGCGGCTGAACTTCTGCTCCGTGTCCAGCTCCTGCTCTCCCATGCCCAGTCGCAGCATGTAACGTGCCGGCACATCCCGCTGGGATACACATGGGGAGGGAGAAATGGACGGGAGAGTTGGGGCGGAGAAGGAATATTGAAAGGGAGATTCAGATGCTTTGTGTCCAGCTCTTGATCGCCCATGCCCAGGCGCAGCATGTAGCGCACCAGCAGGTCCCGTTGCATACAGATGAGATGAGAAGGGGGTGAAGAGGGGGATGGGGAACAAGTGGGGTGATGAGGAGGGAGGGTGAGCTCAGCTCCGCGCCCATGCCCAGGCACAACATGTAGTGCGCCCGCACATCCCGCTGCATACAGATGGGGAAAGAGGGAGAGCAGCCGGGGGTGATGGGAAGGGGGTGAGTTCAGCTCCTGCTCACACATTACCCACCTGCATGACGCTTTTGATCATGTCGCCAAGGCCTGAATTCACAGATTTCGCATAACACCACCACAGAGCACCGTGCCGCACTGAACTGCACTGCACCCACCTGCATGATCTTCTCAAAGAGGTCGTTGAGGGCCTGGTTGGAGTGAGTGATGACAAGCGTGCGCTGTTCAGGGCAGTTGTGGTACAGCACCTGGTCGGGCAGGGAGAGGGTGGGGGGGGGGGGGGTGGGGAGGGGGTGGTGGGGGGGGGGGAGCAGGGGAAAGGAGTCAGTTGTAGTACAGGACGAGAAGATCCGTGAGAGCTTCGCAACTACAGGACGAAGGAGCAGGGGGAGGGAGATTCCAGGGCTTCCCCCCCGCATTAATCAGGGAAGTTGTAGTACAGGACAAGAAGATCCGTCAGAGCTTCACAATTGTGGTGCTGCATTGTATTGGCACTGCACCGCATTACATCTCGGACAACTCACTGACCTGCAGGATCTGCACAGCCGTGTCAGTCTTGCCGGTTCCAGGCGGCCCCACTATCATGGTCAACCCCGGCTGCACCCCGCTGATGATGGCGTTCCACCTGGTGGGAAGCGGTGGGGAGAGGTGGGAGTCGGTAGGGAGAGGTGAGACACAGTGGGGAAAGGTGACAAGCGGTGAGGAGAGGTGACACGCGGAGAGGTAAGCCACAGTGAGGAGAGGTTACAAGGGGTGGCGAGAGATGTGCTGGGGAGGAGTGAGAGGCGGTCAGAAGAGGTGAGAGACAGGGCATAAAGAGGCGGTGGGGAGAGGTGCTAGGCGCTGCAAAGAGGTAGGAGACGGCGGAAAGAGGAGATAGAGGCGGTGAGACGAGGTGAGGTGAGATAGAGCAAGGGAGCGAAGGCAGAGAAAGGATGAGAGTTCGGTACCTGGGTGGGTGTGAAGCGCACGTGGTTCTTCCTCTGCTTCCCAGGGGGGTACGGCCCGGGGTCAGGCAGAGGCACCGACTCCGCAATCACCACCCCTCACCCTCCTCCTGCCCTCCCTGCTCCCCCTTGTCTCCCTGCTCTCCCTGCTGTGGTGCCTCGTCTCCACCATCTCCTTCCTTGACCTTTTCCCCATCCACCTCCATCTGCTCCCCCTCCTGCTTCTCCTTCTCCCCACCCTTCTCCTCCTCCCCTCCCTTCCCCTTCCCCTTCTTCTTCCCCTTCGCCCCCTTCTTCCCCTTCCCCTTCCCCTTCCCCTCTTTCTCCTGCCCCTTCTTCTTCCCCCCCATTGCCACCCCACGCCCCTCCTCCTGCGCCTTCGGCATGGGTATAGTCACGCGGAACGGAGGCTGAGGGTCAGGGTTCTCAAACCCATCCGCATCCACAAACCGCACCTTAAAGCCCGGGAAGCACTCCTTCAAATGCTCCGCATCCACAAACGTGTCTCTGAAATCCACCACCTCCACGCGCCACGGCGCCAGCTCAGCAGGCATGCGCCGCCAGCTGGCGGCTGCCGGATCATCGTACCCCAAAAACAAGTCATGCAGCCAGCCTGGCACCGACGCCTCCTCGTTCATCAGATCCCGGATCGACTCCAGAATCGGCTTGAAGTTATTCTCCTTTGGCTTCCTCCGCATCACCACGTTTAAAGCCGAGTAAACCTCCTCCTGCGCTCCTCTCAGCGTCCCTCCATTGGCCTCTAAATCCAGCTGGAACTGGGCGGGATCGAGGGCGACGAGAGCTGTGCGCTTGTTCCCTTTGGGTGGTTTCCACTCCTCCCGCTTCACCCTTCCAGAGAAGTCATTCATCAGCTTGTTGTCCTCATCGCGCAACTCGATCACCTCGCACCCCCGCACATATCTTAACCCGTATCTCTGCGGGACGGACAGCGACGAGACCACCGCAGCAGCATCCGCCGCTGCTTCCTCCTCCTCCGCCCCATCCTCTCCCGCCTCTCGCTCGCCTGCGCCACCGCCTGTGCCGCAGCAGCATCGGCCGCAGCTTGCAACGCAATCTCATCCGGGTGTATCCCAAGCAGGAACAGCACGTCATGCTCTTTAATCTCCTCCCACTCGCTCCGCATCGCCGCCTTATACCCCCCTATAGAGTACTCCACTTCCGCTAGAACCGCCGCCGGCTGCACCTCGCCTAAGCAGCGGCGCCTTAACTTCTACAATCCGGAACGACGAGATCTGAATGGCCATTCGGGCCCACCCGGTGAACTCCGTATCCCGGTCCACGCTGCTGTACATGCTCCCCTTCGCCCCCATCCGCTTTAGCACATCGTGCACCTCCTCCCGAATCTCGTACGTCGACTCGAGCCGAAACAGGTTGAAATTCCGCAGCAGGTAATCGTGCAACGTGAGGAACTGCAAATTAAGTTTCGGCAGTGCCAAGCAGCCTTCTCCGGTGTAGTTCACGCTGGGGATGAGGCTCTCGTCCCACATGACGTCCTCGTTGGGGTAGAGAGGCAGTGCGTTGAGTGCTGCTCGCTGGGAGCGCTTCTTCTCGAAGAAGGAGACGACTACTTCCTCTAGGAACGGGCGGAGACGGTGGAAGAGCACCGCCCGCTGCTGCTCCCAGTACTGCTGCTCTGCCTCCTCCTCCTCCTCCTGCTGCTCCTGCTGCTGCTCCTCTGAACCCTCTTCCACCACCATTCGTGTGGGAGCTTTGGGGCGGCGAGTGGAGGAGAGGAGGTGGCGTGGCGGCCGGTACGGCAGGCCCGCTTGAGACAGCAGCTTCAGCTGCACGGTGGTAGAAAGGGGGAGAAGGGCGGGGAGGGGAAAGGGTGGAAGGGGGGGGGGGGGGAGGTTGGTATTGGGCCAGTATGGCAGGCCTGCTCGAGACAGCAGCTTCAGCTGCACGGTGGTAGAACGGGCAACAGGGAAATAGAATTTAAATTTCTCAGAACATACATCAAGGGTACTGGAGCACGAAGGGAGAATGTTTGGGATGATATGATATAGCAGCCCAACATAGAAAAACAAACAAGCGCAAACAGAAAACAAAGAGCACACACGCACGCATGCTTGTGCGAAACAAAACGCACACGCGCATGCACGCGCGCGAGGGCACTGTTTACCCAGACATCATTACTCAATATGGCACGCTTGTCCTAAAACAGTTGGAGATACAGAAATCTAAACTCAATATGCCATATCTGGGTCGGCTATGTTTGTCCTTACCTTGTTAAGCACCAGCTCCGCCAGCTGCTCGTCTGTGAGTCGCCCCATCCACTTGCAAACGAGTGTCTACTGAGCTAGCCAAAAGCCTACTCTTTTTGCAGCAACTCCCTACTTCACCATCGGCACCGCACTCCACCCATGGGTTTAGGGTCACCACCCTAATGTTAACCGCTCGTTACCTTGTTGAGCACCAGCTCCGCCAGCTGCTCGTCTGTGAGTCGCCCCATCCACTTGCGCACTCCGTCAGCATGCTCCACACTTCCCACGTTGGTCAGGGCGACGTCACGTAGCTGAGGGAGGAGATGTGGGGGGGGGGGGGGGGGCACAGGGGGGGCGGAGGGGGAAGGGGAGACGGGAACAGGATTCAAAACAGAGTAAGCCACTTGCGCACGTCGTCAGCATGCTCCACACTTCCCACGTTGGTCAGGGCGACGTCACGTAGCTGAGGGAGGAGACGTGGGGGGGGGGGGCACAGGGGGCGGAGGGGGAAGGGGAGACGGGAACAGGATTCAAAACAGAGTAAGCCACTTGCGCACTCAGTCAGCATGCTCCACACTTCCCACGTTGGTCAGGGCGACGTCACGTAGCTAAGGGGGGGAGTGTGAGGAGGGGCGGGGGAGATGCGATGAAAGGCGAGGAGCCAAAACAACCAGGAATGAACAGCAGGGATGCTATAGATACGCTACCACCACCCACCTCTGGCACTTTGTTTCTTAAGAATTCTCAAAAAACATAACCAGGAGGAATGAACAGCACGGATGCTATGACCACGTGAACTTTTGAGTCGACTTATAAGGCAAGGAGCCAAAACAAACAGGAATGAACAGCACGGATGCTATGACCACGTGACTTTTGAGTCGAATTATAAGGCAAGGAGCCAAAACAACCAGGAATGAACAGCACGGATGCTATGACCACGTGACTTTTGAGTCGACTTATAAGGCAAGGAGCCAAAACAACCAGGAATGAACAGCACGGATGCTATGACCACGTGACTTTTGAGTCGACTTATAAGGCAAGGAACCAAAACAGCCAGGAATTAACAGCACGGATGCTATGACCACGTGACTTTTGAGTCGACTTATAAGGCAAGGAGCCAAAACAAACAGGAATAAACAGCACGGATGCTATGACCACGTGACTTTTGAGTCGACTTATAAGGCAAGGAGCCAAAACAACCAGGAATGAACAGCACGGATGCTATGACCACGTGACTTTTGAGTCGACTTATAAGGCAAGGAACCAAAACAGCCAGGAATTAACAGCACGGATGCTATGACCACGTGACTTTTGAGTCGACTTATAAGGCAAGGAGCCAAAACAAACAGGAATAAACAGCACGGATGCTATGACCACGTGACTTTTGAGTCGACTTATAAGGCAAGGAGCCAAAACAACCAGGAATGAACAGCACGGATGCTATGACCACGTGACTTTTGAGTCGACTTATAAGGCAAGGAGCCAAAACAACCAGGAATGAACAGCACGGATGCTATGACCACGTGACTTTTGAGTCGACTTATAAGGCAAGGAGCCAAAACAACCAGGAATTAACAGCACGGATGCTATGACCACGCTACCACCACCCACCTCTGGCACTTTGTTACAGAGGAACAGTAGAAGGGCTGGCACACGAGCGCAGTGCTCCCTATCCACTTCCTCCTCGTCCACTTGGATAGCATAACTATGTGCACCCGACACCACTCACTCACCGCTGACAATCTAATAGTTCTCACCTCTGGCAATTTGTTGAAGAGGAACAACTGAAGGGCCGACACTCGAGCGCAGTGCTCCCTGTCCCACCTCCTCCTCATCCAGTCGGTGTAACCAGGTCTTTCAATTAACCCTCACCTCTTGCACTTTGTTACAGAGGAACAGTTGAGTTGAAAGGCTGACACACAAGCGCAGCCATCCAGTTGTGTAGGTAGGTGCAGATAATACCGCCCATCGCCAACAATCTCACAACACCCACCTCTGGCACTCTGTTGAAGAGGAACAACTGAAGGGCCGACACCCAAGCGTAGTGCTCCCTATCCACCTCCTCCTCGTCCTGATGTGCCATTATGTGTCTCATGCAACCCTCATCTCCAGCACTCCGTTGCATCTGAGCAGCTGTGTAAGTAAATGTTACATGTGGCCCTCACCTCTGGCACTTTGTTAAAGAGGAACAGCTGAAGGGCCGACACACGAGCGCAGTGCTCCCTGTCCACCTCCTCCTCATCCAGTTGCCGCCCGGCGTGGTCGTCCATTTGGAATCTAGCGTAGAATCGCAGCAGATCCACCAGCTGCACAAAAAGACGGCCACGCTGGTGCCGGTACAGCCGGCTCAGGCGGCACCGGGCGGCGACGGCCATGTCATCCACTACAGGACGAAAGAACCTGATCATTGAAGGGCAACGGGAACGTGACAGTGGGGTCAAGAGTGAAACGGAAGAATGGTTAGGGAGATGCACTGATAGATACACGCACACGCATTCGTACCTGCGTGTGGGCAGCTGGCTGAGCAGGTCTATGAGCAGCTCCAGGAATCGCTCGCAGAAGAGCAGCCGCGGGTGGTTGAAGGGGGTTTACAAAGCAGTCACACATGCAAACACACATGCACCGATAGGTACATGCATGCATGCACAAACCCGTACATACCTGCGTGTGGGCAGCTGGCTGAGCAGGTCTATGAGCAGCTCCAGGAAGCGCTCGCAAAAGAGAAGCCGCGGGTGGTCCACTGCCCTCTCTAGCAGCACCCCTGCGGACTCGCTCTGGTCGTCTTCGTAGTCCGGGCCCTTCTCCACCACCTCGTCCAACACCTGGCAGGCGTTGAGGCACACAGGGGGGCACACAGCAGCACAGCAGCACACACAGAAGATAGAGACGGAAAGACAAAGAGAATTAGGTCCCCTAAACACCCTCTCTCCAGCAGCACCCCAGCAGACTCGCTCTGGTCGTCCTCGTAGTCCGGGCCCTCGTAGAGATGGAGATGGCATGTCGTCAAATGAACATGCCACCAGCAAACATTTAGATACAACTCCATTTCCTTCGAGTCGTACCACAAAGAGGGATGCACGCAGATAGCATATCCTAGCACAGAGTTGGCCTGCAACCGCTCCGAAAGAGCCTATCACTCACAGAAAAGAACTCCAGAATCAACCCAGGCAGGAATCGACCCCGCGCCTCTCCTTCCGCTCAGCCGCCTCCGCCTCGGCCCGCTTCTCCCCACCCTCGCCACAGCAGCCAGCCTGGCGTGGCGGTTCTTGGCGTCCCGTTTGAGCAGGCGCGACCAGAGGGCGAGCAGGTGCGCGTGGGGGTGCAGCTCGCGCTCC